ACTGGAAGGTTGTGGATTTAAATCCCAGGTGAAACACAGCAGTTGTACCCTTGAACAAGGTACTTTACCCAGACTGATCCAGTAAGATACCCACCTGTATAAATAAATACAAAAGTACAATATGTTGACTTGGATAAAGGCGTCGGCCAAACGTGGAATGAAATCTAGAAAAACCCTAAAGAAATAATATCAGCTATGCTTGGAATGTGTATACACTAGCACTAAGAACATTTGTAGTATTAAGTGCTACAAATGAGAGGAGGTCATTTAATTGTGTCCATTAAGGTGTGTTTTTACTTGAAGCTTATTGATCCCAAGTTTTCAAATTAGCTCCAAACTTGAAGGTCATTTGCTAGAAACACTACCTAACCAGCTCTGTGTAAGCAGATTAAACAAGATACAGCTTCTCCATGATAAATGGTCTTGTTAATGTCTGTTCTGTAATATGAAACCATTTGCTGGGAAGCAGTAGATTCTACACACAGGAGATCCCTGGGAATTGATCTAATTTCATATCTTAAAATGATTGAACAATTTGCTGGACATCAGTTAATTTCAAACTGTTACCTTAACTCTCTATTCTAATTTAGCCAGCTGCCTGTTGATGTGTTTTAAGGTCATCATTATTTTTCCATTTGATAATGACTGAAGGACAAAAGATTTGTTTTTGTATCATACGGGTTTATTTACATTAGAATATAGTGTTATCCTCAAAAAATACACCAGATTTTAATTTTAACCATGCCTTATAACACTTTCTTTTTGAAGGGAAAAACCAAACATTTTCATGTATGATGCCTTTCTAATGATTTAATACAGCTAAACATACAGTATATTGCTTTTTGATGAGCGGACATATCTGAAGTCTTCATTATCTTGCAATTCCCCTTATGTTTCATTACCATGTTAGTAAAACATGCGAAGCAAAAAATATATTATATAATATCAAAAACATGATGAAAAATGAAAATAACGATGATTTACAGAAGTCAAATACTTTTAAGGAACAACAAAACATATGACAAAGGTATTGCTATGTTGAACAAAAGGGGTACAATACACTGGTTTAAAGCCAACAGGAACATGAAGCTTTCAGATCCTTCTCTAAAGAAAGATAACTCTGGAAAGATAGATAAGAAAGATAAGTCTGGACGTGATCTTAAAAAATCAATATTCAAATTCTAGCCTTATCACTCCATTAAGGTTTCAGACATTTTTCTTAAATAAGCTGCATATTCACTACCCCACAAAATGTCTCAAGGAAACAAATAGTAACTCCACAGAGGTAAGGCTAAACATACAGTACAAGATGTACTGTACAGTATGCTGCATGATGATGCAATTGAGCTGGTTATTGTTATTTTTCATATGTCAGTGCGGTCAAATTGAATTATATAGTTTTTTTTATCATTCTAAATAAAACGTATCATCTGTATACACAGAAAAAAGTATTTTATGTTACTGAAAATGAAAATTAGTTTCAATAAGGCCACAAAATATTTCCTAGTCATGTTGCTACAGTAGGTGCAATTTCACTGAATGTAATAAAGGGCACAATATCATAAGCTTTGTAGTGTCTAAAAGCAATCTCGTGAGTACTGCAAAGGAACACCGAAGGATCCTTCATATAAGCAAGTACATCTTTCATGTGATTAATACTAAATACTAAAAAGTGGAGGAGTTAAAGGAGACTTTCACCACTGCTCATATGTGTTAAGATTGTCTTAAACTGTTTAATAACTCTTCAACTGCTGTAGCGGATTTCAGTCCTTTCTATGATCACGTTAAGAGAAATGGTACATAGTAACCAGCTTTTTACTCCTCTCAGTTTGTATCTCATCAATGCAAAGAATATATTTTGGGTACAAAAAGTAATATTTATCGATAAAGGTGACTTCAATAATACAATGACATTTTCATTACACATTACATCTTACAGTAATACTGCAGCACTGTAGCTATAAATGGCAGTCTGTTCATTCATCTAATTTGATGATTTACAAGAAAATGACAAAGTATCTGTAAATTGGTCTCAACTGAAGTGAACAAGCCCTGCAAATAACATATTTGCACTGTCTCCAAACAAGCCTTTTCTGCAGTGCATGAGTTCATTTCCCTAGTCTGATTACAGAGTTTTGATCAAGGCATTTTGATCACACAGGAGACATAAAATCAGCTGTCATGGCCAATGAAATGCAGTAGCTGTGAATGTCTCACTGAGACAAGCCAGGTCCAGGTAAGAAGGTCAGTGGAAAGTGTCTCAGTTTATTTTGTAGTGTTAACAGTAGCTCTGGGTAAATGTAGCATATTCCTGGTATCTCAAGAAGAAGCATGAAGAGGTTTCAAAAGGTTCAATGGCCTCAGATTTCTTCACGTGGGGAAGGTGTGATAAGAGGAGGGAAATGCTTGAATGCAGATCTAAAACAAAACAAAAAATAATGACTATGAATTGATGAAATGACTGAAACAAGATGTTTGATCCGACAAAACAAAGGAAGTAGCTGTTGCAGAAAACAATGGCCTCCAAAAGAGTCAGCTTGGTTCCCAGTGTTAGTGTCTTGTGATTTTTAATTTAGTCACTGCAATGGAATCATTTATGGTGTCATGAGAATTTAAAACACACTCCAGAACAATGAAAACAAATACTTAAAAACTAGTTTTTAAACAACTAAATACTGAATTATTAAGAAAAGGTTTCAAACTATGGATGTAGACAGACTTAAGCAGCCAGAACACACAGATATACAAAAATGTAGATCCTGCCCTCTATAGTCAAATGTTTCGTTACCTTAGTATCTAGACAGGGAGGCAGCTGAGTCCTTAAGATACTTAAGTTACAATTTTGATCTGTCCAGGTGTCTTGACGATTAGTGTTCCAGCTGAAAGCCTCTCCCTCAACACCCTCCTCTTGCTGTATACAGCGGGTGGAAGCCTAGACCCAAGAGAAATGGCAAAATATTTAAGCAAAATAAAAATCTGTATTACAGAAAAAACACTGACTCATCACCGATACACTCAGTAGCTACTTGTAAGGTCTGGGCAGTCCACAGATCATCTCAGTTACAATGGATGCTTCACTTGAAAAACATGAGAGTCCTCCATTGCCTTCACTGACCAGAGCCTGTAGAACAATGGTGGAAAACTAGTTTCATTAGTTCAATTCAATTCAATTTTAGTTCAATTTCGTCCAAACGTGATCCTGTTACGAGAAATGGATGGGACTGGATGTTTCAGATTTTTGAGGATTAATCAAGTCGGATTTTTAAATGAAGATGTACGGCATACGGCTTTATCCAGGGAAATGTACACCATGTATACAAAGTTTAAATTTCTTTCCCCACACGATGGAACAACATTCAGCAGTTCTGGTATTCATCTGCTCTTTGTTTCATGCTATGATTGAATCCTTTTCACTCCGATTGACAAATCACCTTCATCCCACTACTTAACTAACTGGAGTTTGGTACTCTTTTAGCAATTTTCAACAGTATTAATAGAAAGACAGTATCATCAAAATAGCAAGCACTGTGTTATTGGAAGCAGAAAGGATTTGATTTTCTGAATTTTTCTTGGATTCAGATAGGGATAGGACCCTTTCCAACACAAGCTATACTGTACTTTCAGACGTAAAGTTCGCAGCACAGCGCGATAAGCACAAAAGTATAACATACCTCTGCCACTTCCCAGATACACAGGAAGATAAAAGTTGGAATGAATTTAAAAGGAACTGAGGACTTGCATGCAAAGCTGCCACCCTGTTCTAGGACCATCAGTGGGAGGGTGGGAGCTGTGAGTCGCAGAAAAAGGCATGAAAAGTGATGTGAAAGCACAGGAGGCAGAAAACAGAAAACAAGCAAGCAAAAAACATTAGGTGACAGGAAGTTGAAGTCTAGACTGTGCTTTACTTACAATCACCAAAGTGTGTGAATGCAGCCTGAAGACCTTTTGGAGAGAGTGATGTTTTGGAATCTTTTATCACTGAAAACATGAGCCTTTTGAAGTCTTCTTTAAATCTTGAGATGTACCAGGAATGTTGAACACCTTCCTTTGACCATGATGATGGGTTCCACTGATCTTAAAGCCAAACTTTTGATGCATAGAGGTGGTTGAAATGACACGATTCTGTAGATAATCATTGTGGCAAATTCTTTGAATTGAATTGAAGTTTTCTCAGTTAGATTTAGAAGAGATCTGTGTGTTTAGCATTTTATTTGGTGGAGTGGATAACCAGAGAACATCTTGGCAAAACCATATCTTGAGCCTGGCAGAACTGTAGCAGTGATGTAGAGAGATAGTGAAGGATCTAAAAGTTTCCTGATGTACTTTTCCCTGTTGTTAAAAATGGATGACCTTTGACATTTTTTTATTCTGCTCTGCAGATAGCAAAATAATTGTTTTTTTTAATTGTGCTGGATTAGAATTTTAATTTTTCATAAAATGACTCTGCTTAGATCCTCATACACATATATAGAAATATAAAGCAATATATATATTTTAAATCCGGTATACAGCATTGTGTTTATATTCATTTTGGCTTAGAGAGGGCTATTTCAGAACAACATAGAGCTAAGAAAAATAATATTTTTAAAATAATAAAAATATAAATTTAAAAGCAAATAGGGCCAATAGAATTTTTGATTGCCCTTTTCATTTAAAGTTCAGCAAATGTATTATGTAAATGAAAAAATAGTGTTAACCAGTGTCTACCACTGAAAACAATGTTAAATCAGTTTTGGACATTCAGATAAGAAATAAAAATGTCAAGGTTAAATGTGCTAATACAACTGCTAAAATGGCAACAAAACAGTCTAAAATTAGATTTGTTTCATTATAGAAAGGACAAGTTTAGCTTAGGATATTCTTTTTAGAATATAGTAAGAAGAATTAGAAATTAAATCCAGCAATAGTGTACTAATATTTATTCAGCACTGCAACATCCCAACTCAACCACATGCAGAGCAGAATAAATAAGGTCTTTTTCAAAACTACTATTATGCAACTGCGGAGTGCAATGGCTGTACTGTTTTGAAGACTGCTTGTTCTTCAGAGCTGCAGTTCCTATGCACAGAGAGGAGAGCTTGCGCAAGTTCTGCCATATTCAACCCACCATGGGGTCCAGCATCATATCGGCGACCATAGCTTGCTGAAGAGTAGGAGGAGGATGAAAATGTCATAGAAAAGGGAGAACCAGTTGCATCAAAACTGCCCCGTCTTGAGCCTGATCGTGATCCTGTCCTGGATCCTGATCGGGATCCTGAGGCTGACCCAGCTCCACTAACATTGTAGGGACTGTATAGCCCTTTGGTTGACTGCGAAGACGCCTCCAAGAGACGAAGGCCAGAACCTTCTTCGACCATACTTCTGTCCATCGCGTCCTTGTAAGAAATCTTTAGCTTTGTTTTGGGGCAAGTTAGATATTTGGAATAAGCACTCACATCTCTAAGCTTCTGTGCAGTACGTGCGTCTAAAGTGCCTTTCCTAATGGCCTCATCCAGTGGTACTCTGCCAGGAACATCAGGTTCAATGAGCCCACCGGTGAGGTACTGTACCTCCAAGAATCGCTGACCAGCTTCATAGTAAAGCCAGCCCTTTTTCAATGCTTGGGCAGCAGACATTTTTGTCTTAGTTCTGGGATCTTCAAAACCATTAAAGGCCTTCTGGGCTAGATTGATGCGGTCAACCATGATCTTGTCCACAAGTCCTTTGTTCAATGCATCAGCAACTGAGAACTTCTCCCCAGTGTTGGGGTCAATGATTCCTCCTGTGCAAGCCTGAGCCTCTAACAATCTTTGACCAGTGATATTGTCCACAAGGTTTCGGTGCATGGCTTCAGTAATAGAAACCTTCTCTAAAGTGTCAGTATCCAAAATCCCAGCAACTGGGCCTGTTTCTTCAGTGGGGTCACTCCACGTGGTAGCTGGAGTCCTGATTGCAGGGATGGGACTCATAGGATATGATGAGGAGGACCCAACAGAGGAAGATCTGGAGCGGAATCCAGTCATGTTTCCTGACAGCATATCAGCGAATTCTGTGATGGATAGAGTGCCAGCCCGGTACTGATCCAGGGCAGACTGATCAATGAGGCCTCGAGAAAGTGCATCATCAATGTCATACTGTCTGCCAGACCTCCTGTCAATGATCATGGATTTCACAACACCATCAGAGGAGGAGATAGTGATTTCTTCCCACTCACACTCCTGCTCTGCAAGCTCCATGTAGGTCTGATGATCAATTAGTCCTTTGCGGTAAGCCTCATAAACAGACATCTCCTTGCCTGTCTCTGGATCAACAATGACCACTCTCCGTTTACGGACAGATGATTTGGAGGATGTTTTCCTTTCTCGCTTTTTCTCTTTCAGAAGGAGAAGAACAAGGCCAGTCTCAGGATCTGTAATGCACCTTTCCATTAGTTGCAGGTAAGTTAAGTTCTCCTCAGTGTTTGGATCAAAGAAACCTTTAGTGTCATCATTTGGATCAGTGAGTATCTTGTTCATCTCTTCATCAAACAGGCCACGTTTGTAAGCCACCTCTACCGGCAAGCGATGACTTTCCTCTGGATCAATGATACCACCAGTAGCAATCTGGGCTTCCAGCAGACGAATGCCATGGTCTTTTAGGATAAGACCTTTCTTCATAGCCTGGAACAAAGAGATTGTCTTGCCAGAATAGGGATCTCGGTAACCTGTTACAGCTCGTTCAGCAGAGAGAAGCTTGTCTTTGAACTCGGGGCCAACAATCCCCATCATCACTGCTTCATTTACAGTCAGTTTCATATTCTTTATTGGGTCAATCACATAACCAGTAGAAGCTTGAGCTTCCAGAAGTTCGAACGCAGTTCCAGGTCTAATCATGTTCTTTTTCATGGCTTGATAGACTGTGAGAACGTCCTTACTAGACTCTACATACACACCAGCAATGCAGCTTGTGCCTTCTAGGTACTTCTGAAGTCCCTTGCTAACTTCTTCAACAGTAGTCAAGCCTTCATTGAGATCACTGACTATCTTTTGGTCTATAATCTCAGAGCGCAACAATTCTTCTATTGTGATTTGCTTTCTCAGACCCTTAAACATAAGCCTCCTATCTGCCAGGGATAGCAAATGGAGACCACTGTCCTTTTGAACTTTGCACCTTCTCAGCAGCTGTGCATAAGTAAGCTTTTCCTCTGTAACTGGGTCCTGATACCCTTTACTGTCCCCGTTTGGATCAGAAAGTCTTTCATTTGTCTCTTTATTAATGTATCCACGTTGCAAAGCAACATCTATTGGAAGGTGGAAGTTGTATTCTGGATCCATTAGGCCACCAGTAGCAATCTGTGCTTCCAATAACTTCAGAGCATACTCTTCTGGAATCAAGTCTTTTTTCATTGCCTGGAAGAGGGAAATTATTTTGCCAGTGTAAGGATCCCGATAACCTGTGACTGCTCTCTCAGCTGAAAGAAGTTTATCGTGGATCTCAGGGCCCACAAGACCTTTTCGCACAGCCTCATCAACAGTTAGCATTTCCTCTTTCACTGGGTCAATCATGAACCCTGTTGCTGCCTGAGCCTCCAGTAAACCCATAGCTATTTCAGGCTTAATTAGACCTCTTTTCATTGCTTGATAGATGCTGATCTTCTCTTTACCAGAATCAGCCAGAATACCAGCCACACTCCCTGTACCAAACAGGTAATGTTTCACACTCTCAATTTCCATGATTTCTCGAATTGTCTTTTTTCCTTGTTTCAACAAATTGTAGGTTTCTAGGTCAATGATCCTGGCGCTATATAACTCTTCAATTGTAACTCTTCGCCGAATCACATCACAAGAGATGTGCTGCTGTTGCGTTATGATTTCTCTTTGCTCAATTATTTCAATAATGATGATGATCATGCGCTCCTTTGTAATTCTGCCTGAGCGATACTCTTCAAGCAGCTTCTGCCTTTCTCCTTCAGGAAGGAGATCTGAGTTCATGATATCCCACAGGGACACAGATTTTCCAGCAAGGCTTTCATGTGGTATGTCAACTTGCATATTTGCCAAGTCATTCTTTGTCTGTTCTTCAGTATATATGAAAGTCTTCTCTACCACAGATGGTGCCTCTGTTTTTGAAAGGGGTATTAAGCACAAGCCTGTGTCTGGATCTCTCATACACCTTTCTTTCAGATGTTTGTAAGAGACTTTTTCATTAGTATTGGGGTCAAAGAAACCTTTGCTGTCATCTGACGGATCTGAGAGAGTCTTGGTCATTTCAGGACTCAGATAGCCTCGCTTATAGGCTACTTCAACAGGCACACGATGGCTATTTACTGGATCAATGATGCCTCCAGTGGCTATTTGAGCTTCCAAGAGTGGAATGGCATGTTCATTCACTGTAAGGTCCTTCTGCATTGCTTGAAATAGGGAGATTGTATTACCAGTGTAAGGATCTTTATAGCCAGTCACAGCTTTTTCAGCCAAAAGAAGTTTTTCATGAAGTTCAGGGCCAACAATGCCTGTTTTCACTGCATCATCTACAGTAAGCCTCTGCTTCTTGACTGAATCAAGAATGAAACCAGTTGCTGCTTGTGCTTCCAACAATGCAAGGGCTGTATTGGGTTTTAAAAGTTTTTTCTTCATAGCCTCATAAATATTCATTTTTTCTTTTGTAGGTTCAACATAAACTCCTGCTATGCTGTCAGTCCCCTGCAGGTATTTCTTCACTGAGTCAATTTCACTTACTTCTTTTGGTGTCTTTTTGCCTTGCTGCAGCTGATCATAAGTAGTTTTATCAATAATCTGGGAGTCAAGCAACGAGCTGGCAGGGATAGGAGCTCTGAGGCCATTGAAGCTGACCTGCTCTTGTTTTTTTGTTTCTTTTTCATCAATGATAGTGATTACAATTTTAATGATCTTCTCAATTGTCACTTTACCCATTCTGTATTGCCTTATTAGCTCAATCCTTTGTTCCTCTGTCAGGTATTCTGAGTTTATTATTTCCCAGATGGTTACTTTCTTTCCTTTAAAGGGTCCAGATGGTAATTCTAATGTAGCTTGGTTTAAAGCCTCTTTAGTCTGGACTTCTGTATAGGCCTGCTCCTCCTTTGCTTTAATAGCTTGTTCTGAAAGCGGCAACAACTGAAGACCAGTCTCTTTGTCAGTGATACATCGTTTCAGGAGCTGAAGGTAAGTGACATTCTCTTGAGTATTTGGGTCAAAGAAACCTTTGGTATCATCAGTTGGGTTGCTGAGGATCTTGTTCATTTCATCATCAAAATAGCCACGCTTGCAGGCAACATCAAGTGGAATACGATGACTTTTGACTGGGTCAATGATGCCTCCAGTAGCCAGCTGAGCTTCTAACAATCGGATCCCCTGATCTTTATGGATCAGGTCTTTCTTCATTGCCTGGAATAAAGAGACAGTGTTTCCAGTATAAGGGTCCTTGTATCCAGTTACAGCCCTCTCAGCGGAGAGTAGCTTCTCATGTAATTCAGGGCCAACAAGGCCTGCTTTCACTGCCTCATCTACTGTGAGTTTCTGATTTCTGATTGGGTCAATTACATATCCAGTAGCAGTTTGGGCTTCCAACAGATTTAATCCAGTTCCTGGTCTTATGAAGTCTTTCTTCATTGCCTGATAGAAAGGCAGTTTTTCTTTGGTTGATTCAATCACTACTCCAGCAATGCTATTTGTACCCTTCAAGGACTTCTTGACAGGCTCGAGCTCAGACACCTCTTTCACAGATTTCTTTCCCTGGTGCAACTGGTTATACATGTCTTTGTCAATAATTTTAGAATCTAGCAGTTCACTAGCAGGAACAGGAGCCCTAAGGCCATCAAATGCAATTTCTTTTTGCTTTTCACCATCTTCAACCACAGTAATAATGATCTTAATGATTTTTTCCACTGTGATTTTTCCTGTTTTGTACTGCCGAATGAGGTCCCTTCTTTGTTCCTCAGTGAAGTACTCAGAGTTAATAATTTCCCATATGGTGACCGTCTTCCCCTTGAACTTCCCAAATGGCACAGAGACAGTAGCTTTGCTAAATATATCTTTAGTTTCTTCATCAGTGTATGTCCTTTCACTTTGAGCAGCTTTTTCTGTAATTGGGAGGAGGAACAAGCCTGTTTCAGGATCGGTAGTGCACCTGTCTAATAACTGCAAGTATGTGAGGTTTTCCTGAGTGTTTGGATCAAAAAATCCTTTTGTGTCATCAGTAGGATCCAACAAAATCTTGTTAATTTCTGCATCAAACTGGCCTTGCTTGAAGGCTGTCTCAATGGGCACGCGGTGGCTGTTAACGGGATCAATGATTCCACCAGTAGCTATCTGTGCCTCCAGCAGTCTGATGGCATGGTCTTGGACAATAAGACCCTTTTTCATGGCTTCAAAGAGGGAAATTTTATTGCCTGTGTAAGGATCTTTATAACCTGTAACTGCCCTTTCAGCAGAGAGCATTTTGTTATGCAGTTCAGGTCCAATGAGGCCCTCTTTCACAGCCTCATTAACAGAAAGCTTTTTATTTTTAACTGGGTCAATGATGTATCCAGAAGCTGCTTGTGCTTCAAGCAGGACTAAGCCAGTGCCAGGAGCAATTCTGTGATCCTTCATAGCGTCATAGATGCTCATTTTCTTGTTTGGCTTTAACAAAATCCCCCCTATGCAGTTTTTCCCTTTAAGATACATTTTCAGGTTTTCATTCCGACTTAGCTCTTGCACTGTGGTGCTACCTTTCTTTAGCTTATCCCAGAGATCTTTGCTTAATAAGCCAACTTCTACAAGCCTGCTTGCAGGGACCTTCTCTCTAATTCCATCAAATGCTAGCCCTGCTTCTCCATTCTCTTTGATGCCATCAACGTCATCTCTGGGACTTCGGCCATTGTAGACGCTCTTGGTTGTTTCCACCTGAGTTATATTAACTAGTTCATCTTCTGGAACATCATCAGTCTGGATCATCATTTCTTTTGTCTGAGGTGCAGCTGGTTTCTGTACAACTTGTAGTTGCTGCAGTTTCTCTCGAAGCTTCTGGTTTTCCCCTGCGAGCAGTTTTTCTTGTTCAAGCCTTTTCTTTTCAAGTTCCTGCAACTCATTCTGCTTGCTAAGAACCTCTTGCTCAGCCTCCTTTTGCTTTTGAAGAGCAGCATCCATGGTGGCTTTCAGTTTCTTCTTCTCCTCTTCCAATTGCTTCCTCTGTCTCTCCTGTTCATCCTTCAGGGCCTTGGCCTTCTTAACCTCCTCCTCAAATTGTTTTTCCAGTTTCTTCTTCTCCTCTTCAATGAATTTTTCCTTTTTCAGAAGTATTTCCTTCTCTGTAATAAATGTTTGTTGAAGAATGGTCTTTTCCTGTTTAATTTGTTCCTGCTGTGCATTAGCCATCTAGGAGGGAAAACAAAGAATAACAAGTTAATATTTTAAACATTACTACAACTTTGGTACCACAAAAACATGCAATATTTAAAATAAATTGTATACACAATCTATCAGAAAACAACATTTGATTGAAGTCTATTAGGAATTCCCAACTATGGCTGTGTGACATTCTTTCTCATACGATATTTTGAACACGTTACTGTTAGAAACTTAATTCATTGTGAGGATATGAATACAAGAAAGAAGGGTTAGTTGTGTTTCATGTTGTAGAAAACTATATGCATGCATGCTGCACTAAAAAAAACAGTACCTCTTTAGACTTATTCTGCAAATCTTCAGCTTCCTTTTTGAGCTTCTCCTTCTCTTTTTCAAGTTCAGCAATGGCTTTGCGAAGCTCGTCAGCCTCTTTGCTGCTCTGTAATCTCTGTACTTCTAGTTTTTCCACAACAGTCAGTTTCTCCCTTGTTGAAAGCTCAGTCTCATGAAGACGAGCACTGATCGCATCAGCCTGTTTCTTAAACTTGCGAGCTTCATCCTCAGCCTTGGATTGGGCTTCGCTGAGCTGCGAGACTCTCAGTTTCAACTTCTCTGCCTCAGCTGTTATTTCCAGCTGCCTCTTGCGCTCAGCCTCTAGAGTCTTATGGAAGCCTTCTGTTTCTTCTTCCAGTCTTTGCTGCATCAGCTGCTTATCCTCCAACAGTTTCTGAGCCTGTTCTTGTGCAAGGTCCTTTTGTCTCTGGAGCATTTCTGCTTCTGCCCTTAGTTTAGATGCTTCCTGGATTGCTTGCATTTTCTCCTTCAGCATTTTCTCTGCAAGGGCTCTCTGCTGTGCTAGATCATCTTCAGCTATCTGCCTCAAACGAGCAGCTTCCTGGGCTTCAACACTGAGTCTAGCAGCTTCTTCAGCCAGTTTCTTCATGTTTTCAGCTTCCTCTTCCAGGAACTTCTGAGTGTTGTCCTTGTCTCTTTTTATCAGTCTTTGGTTCTCCTCCTCAATTCTCAGCTTCAGCTTCATCAGCTCCTCCATTTGGATTCGGACTTTGAACAGTTCTTCTTCCACTTGGGCCTTTTGCTTGACTGCATCACCGACTTCATCCTTGAGGCGCTGCAGCTCTTCATCTAGAAGGTCTTTCTGTTTATCAGTCTCATCCAGCTGCAGCTTCACCTTGGTCAGCTCTTGCTCTACCTGGGACTTCTGCTTCAGAGTTTGTTCTGCAAGCTTTTTGTGCTTTTCCATCTCTGCATCCGCTTGCTGCTTCTGCTTGAGAGCTGCTGCCTCGGCTTGGGCACGTTTAGCGGCTTCAAATTCAGCCTCTTTCCGAAGTCTTTCTGCATCTTCCTGAGCTTTGGCTTGCTTGGCAGCCTCGATTTCGGCTGCTTGTTTTTGCCGTTCAGCATCTTCTGCTTGTTGACGAAAGAGAGCAGCTTCCTGCTCTGCTTTTTGTTTGGCCCTCTCAGCTTCTTCAGCCAATTTTTTAGCCTTTTCAAATTCTTGTTTCATTTTGTTCTGGAAAAGTTCATCTTCTTTCTGTTGGACAAGAACAACCTGAGCCTTCTCTTCTGCAATGATGCATTTCTGGGCAGCTTCTGTGGCGAGAAGAATCTGTTTCTCTGCTTCTTTCTCAGCTAACTCTTTCTGTTTTTTAGCCTCTTCAGCTTTCTTTTTGAGACGTTCCACTTCTTCCTGAGCAGCCTTACGTTGTCGAGCAGCTTCTTCTTCAGCAGCAGTGATCTTCTTCACTTTCTCCTCAGCTTCCCTGCGCCGTTTCTCTTCCATGAGGGCAAGCTGGCGTAGTTTTTCAGCTTCTTGCTCAGCTTGAAGCTTACTGTGCTGTGTTTCCTCTGCAATGTTTTTGAGTTTGTTCAGTTCTAACTCGAGGTCCAGCTTTCCTGATGAGGCTTTCTCAAAGTTAAGTTTCAGGATGCGTATCTCCTCCTCTACTATCCTTCTCTGTTTTACAGTCTCCTCCACAATTGTCTTCTGCCTTTCCAATTCATTGTCAGAAGACTTCTTCAGCTGGTTAATCTTCTCTTCAATATCTTGTTTGTGCTGTGTTGCCTGTTCCTCAAGGATCTTGCGTTGGTAAGCTTCATCTTCAGCCTGCCTTCTCAGTCTCTCATTTTCTGCCTCTTTCTCTTTGAGGGCAATCTCTGCTTCAGTTTTGAGGCGAGTGGCCTCATTGATTGCAGCCAGCTTTTCCTTGAGAATCCTTTCAGCTTCTGCTCTCTGTCGGGCTGCTTCTTCCTCAGCAATCTGCCTCTGTTTCTTGGCTTCCTCAGCTATAGAGCGCAGCTTTGATGCCTCTTCAGCAAGTTCCCTCATCTTACCTGCTTCAGCCTCAAGGAGCTGCTTGCTCTTTTCAGTGTTTGACATTGTCTCCTTTTCAGTTTTTGCCTTTAACTGGAGAAGAACATCCATTTCAGCCCTCACTTTGGCAAGCTCTTCCTCCAGTTGCTTTCTCTGTTGAACTGCTTCATTTACCTCATTTTTCAGGCGGTAAAGTTCTTCATCTAACAAAGACCTCTGTTGTTCAGCATGATCAAACTCGGCCCTCAGGCGGATGAGCTCCTGCTCAGCAGAAAGCTTCTGTTGGGCTGTCCCTTCAGCCAATTTCCTTTGTTTAATTAGTTCTTGCTCAGCCATTTCTTTTTGCTTTAGAGCAGCTTCTTCAGCCTTGGCTCTCTTCCTAGCTTCGCGTTCAGCCTCTTCTTTCTGCTTTTCTGCCTCTTCCTGTGCAACACTTTTTTTGTGGGCTTCTTCCTCAGCCTGGAGCCTCAGGCGGAGAGCTTCATTAGCTTTCTGCCTCCACTTTTCCAGCTCCTTTTCAGCTTCCTCTCTGGCCTTGTCAGCCTCTTCTTGTTGCTTCTTAATACGCTCTGCCTCCTCCTGTAAGTGGATGACAGTAACATTCTGATGCTTGAGTGATTCCTCCAACTGCGTTGTCTTCTCAGCAAAAGACATTCGCTTGCTTTGAAGCTCTGCTGCAGCACTTTTCTGTGCCACTTCCTGTGCCAACTTGATTTGTCTGTCTTTCTCCAACTCTGCTTGTTTCCTCCTTCTTTCAGTCTCTTCTGCTTGCATTTTAAGCTTCTCTAAGTCCTCCAAGGCCTTTTGCTTTTGTTTAGCAGCCTCTTTTTCTGCTTCTGTTTTCTTCTTCAGTTCCTCTTCAGCCTTTCGCTTTTTCTGGGTCTCTTCGTTCACCTGCTTTCGGAGCTTTTCAGCTTCATCCTGGGCAGCTTTCCTGAGTTTTTCTGCTTCTTCGGCCCTGTCTCTTAATTGCTGGAGTTCGGCTTCAGCTGTAGATTTCTGCTTCATTGTTGCCTCTAACTGGATCCTGATGATATGGATTTCCTCCTCAATCTTTGTGCGACTCAACAGGGCTTCCTCTACCTGCTGACTTTTAGACTTAATCTGTTGCTCGGAGAGGTTTTTGAGTTCATGAAGCTCCTGCTGGATGTTGAGTTTTTGCTTCTCTGCATCAACAGCAACCACCTCTCTCTTGCTGACCTCTTCTTGCATTCTGAGTTTCAGCTCATCAGCTTCCTTTTCTGCCTTGCTTTTGGCTTTTGCATGAGCCTCAGCTAACTGCTTCTGTTTCTCTAACTCAGCCTGCATCTCTGCCATCTTTTTCCTCTCTTCCTCCTTTAGTTTCTCAGCAGCTTTCTGTATTAGCAAAAGCAAACGGCAAAAAAGAAAATAAAAATAAGTAAGTACAGTAGTCTATATTAAGTCTACAAGCAAATTAAAAATATATTAATGTTATTAAGCAGGTTTGTAAATAAAGCTACAACTAGATCAATAAGGAATTACATAAGTTCTGAAACTTTAACAAAGATGTCATGTAACATTTACTGAATGTATGGAACACAGAACGAGACATTACACCACAGCAATTCAGTTTAGATACAGTTTGGATCTAGAATGGATTCATGCAATTGAAATTGCCCTTGATGTCTTGAAAGGCAAAATCGCTTCTACTTCACACATTAATTCATCCAGAATACACGAAGCACAGGATATAGGGATGGATCCTTTATTCATACAAGACTGATTTAGAAAATTCTAAATGTATTTATTCCATCAGCCTGAGTCATATATTCACTTACACTGGGATATACAGTGGGTTCCTTTTCATTGAATCAACATAAGATGTTAAGAACTTCTTATACAAGGAAAGGATATACAATGATTCTGATAATTAGGTTCACTACAGCAGAAGAACTTTCTCTGTACTTTCTATAATTTGATCAAATACAATTTAAAGCAAAAGACAAGTTTAGATCAGGCCAAGACTGCACAAAAGTATTTGGCAAGAAAAACCTTTGAAGCCTTCAGATTTCTCCCCTTCCAAATTTCAATTAGCAATTAATGGAATGTTGAGGCAAGGCCTTAAAGAATGAATATTAGACTACAGATGTGTTATCTAAAATTATGTCAGATAATTGATGAATTTTTGCTCACTTCAGCAAAAGTGATTAGGCACTGCACAGCAGACAAACCTAGCCAATCCCCAATCCTCTGCCTTAATACACAAAAAGACTAGTGATGCAGCAAAACAAAGCGTGGGACTGATGGAGAGAGATGGCAGCGCAGTGAAACCTCATTAATTAGACTGTAATCCTGTTCTTGCATTAAAGGTAGCTCAATGTTTAGATAGTTTACAACACAAGATTCAAATTAATATGAATTTAATTTAATATTAATAAAATAATCACATTTTTACATGTGTAGGTTCTGAAGAAAAGTCTTTGTGCAATTCAGATCTACTATGTAGGCAAAAAAGATACAATTACACGGTAGTCACAAAACCTGAAATGCACAGAAACTAAAAATAAGGTGCTCTATGACTGGAATTGACTGAAGAAGGTGCAATAATAGTATATTTATAGGTCTACTATCAAGACAAACACAAGCTGAAATCTAAGTAAAGACGTTTCACACCAATTCAGGCCCGGTGAGAAGGTGATAGCTGCAATGAACATGGTGGGTTTGAATACCTGGTGCTTTGTGGATAATTTACCTCTTTAGCGCCAAACAAGGCAAACATTCATCATGACAAAGCACTGGCAAGCAGTTTAGAGAAGCAAAAGAAAGTTAGGGTTAGAAAAGAAAGGGAAAAAATAAGGCATGTTAATTTTGAAAAAGTAAAGTTCAAAAAGTGAGAGTCAGCCTGAAGCATACTCAATTTAAAATCCAAACCAAGCTAAATGAAAGCCTGCAGCAAGGCAAAGCTATCTCACAACTACACTTGAATAACAGTGTTATAAGACAACAGTCAAATTATTTCACCCTTAGTTTTGAATGTTTGCTCAACTTTCTCAGGGATGTTTATGTATTAACAGCTTACAGAGAAATAGGCGTTTGCTTCAGGCTGAACAGTACCAAGTGTATTTGGGAAGTGTCTCGTTCCACTGAAGGAGTGCTTTCACACGTAAACTCTACAGTGAATGGGAGACAAATACTGCTGGGAAATGAGGTGTGCTGCAGCACTAGCACTTGTTGATCTTTAATTCCTGATGAACACCTCATTGGTAGGATTAGGGTTTGGGTAGGATATGTAAAATTGGCATTTTGCAATCTTCCTGACTAAGCAAGCATTTTTCAGTATTTAGTACAATTAACAGGAAGAGGAACCATCTTTTTATTAATACTTACTAAAACATTAATACACAGACCCTTGGAAATCTTAATTTTCTTTTTTCTACACCTTCTAAAATTTTAATTTTATTATTTCAATTACAAAGCAACACGCTCTTGATCCTTTTGGCAGATTATGGTTTTCTTCCATTTAGACTACATGAACAAAGCAGGATTTCCAGGTTTTAAGTCCCTAAACTACGGAAATCCAAAACGTTTCAACTTCAATCTATTTTACTCCTCAGAGCAGAGAGGAAAGGAAATAACACACAGTTTGAGCAACACACAGTACACAGTACTAATGGTTTAAAAGGCTTAGTGCTGTTTTTCCCCATGGAGGGTGTCACGTACCTCCTCCACCTCCAGGCGGCGCTGTGTGTCTGTGATGAACTTGATGTACTGGCTGGTCAGAGTCATGAGCTCACTGTAGCGGGTTCTCAGGGTGACATACTGAGAAAGCAACACAGCACAGGATCACATTACAAGCTGCTGTTGACAAGCTCAGTGCTGCACAGCAGCATGTACCCTCTGACCCTGTTAACTACTCATGCATCGTGTTGCAGTTCATTGTCTCAGCCTCATCTCAATGCCTGTTTAAAGTACTGCACTTTCTTGAACATTGTAATTTACTACTTTTCTGTAACAACACTCCCTTGTACATCTCATCATACAATTTTGTTTAGTAAACTTGCACAAAAGCATTTCAAGTGATGCTAGCACATCGTGTTATGTTCTCTTGTAAACACTGTGTTCCTTTTACTACCTTGTAAAAGTGTAAGATTTTTTTTTTTAAATAAAGATATCGGCAAAACACTCACCTCCTGGATGATGTTGTCAGACGCGGACTCTACTTTAGCTTTCTTGAGAGGAGAGGCCAGCGGCTCCACCATGGCTTTGTAAGTTACCAGCTGAAGCTCATAATCCTGGAAGAGGAGAGAGCTGGGGTTGGCGGGATATCTGGGACTTCAAACGTACAGTAACAGAAATGAACTTCCGTATGGTACATTAACTCGCAAAACTCCAAGGTCCACGGCACACCTGCACGCGACATCAGATGTGACAAGAAAAGGGAAACCCTGCAGCTTAAAACTTGAAAATTATCTGTTCTTAAAAGCACTTCGTTTGACCATTAACAAAAACTATGAAGCTGAAAATGCAGTAACTTAAAACAAGTTTCTCATTGCCATTACACAAAGAATGACTGAGGTCATGCTGACGTGTGTTACTGGGTCAGACACATACCTTGATGGCATCAATGTATCCCTTGGCGTACGTCTGGCACTCATCCACCTTTTCTTTGTTTTTCTCGATCTCTTCCAAAAGTTTCTGTGTATCAAAGAAGAGTTATGTTAGTAGGGACGATTTACAAATTATCATATACTCTACTATCATCTTCTGCTTTAAAGAAATATGGTTAAGTTGGCAACAATACCCATAAAGATTAATATTGTAATTGCAATTATTAATTTGTGAAAAACAGTTAAAGTCCTCACCTTCTCCTGGGTGAGCTGCTCCTTGAGTGTCTTGCTGTCACCAATGGGCACGGCCTGGATCTTCTCCTGGCGCTGCTTGGCATCTCCAATCCAGTTGATCAGCCAGTCATAGCTCTCCCGGTAGTAGCGCAGCTGGCGGCCCAGCTGCTCAAGCTCGCGCTGGCGCAGGTCAATCTGGGTGAAGATGCCCTGCCATCGCTCCAGCAGGCTGTTCACGCACTGGCGGTAACGCTCGAGGTCGGCGTCGCGCTCGCTGTGCACTCGGGACATGCGCTCGCTCACAGTAGCGGCTTTGCTCAGCTCACCCTCCAGACCGTCAAACAAAGGCTGGTTACCCTCTGCCTCATTGCGGGTTTTCTGCGGGGAGCACAGGAACAGACGGAATGAAGCAATTGATACAGCTTGAGATATATATTGGCACCTACTCTTTCCATTTAATTAGCAACAACAACCCATGGCGCTATGGCCCCTTGCAGAGCCCTGGCCTCCTCCACCACCCTCCTCCACGACTCTCGGTCTTTGCCATCCTCTCACTCTCAACTTTCCATTTAATTAGCATGGATGTATATTCTATTCTCCTATATTAACCAATGATAAAGGTATTTTTATACAGCTATCTGCTGTAAAATTATAGAAAACTATCTTTTGAATCTGCAAAGAAGTGCTACTTACAGCACTGCTGCAATTTGCACCTCACTGGAATGACTGCCTTCAGTTAGATAATGCTTTGTTTAAAAGACTGGTCTAAAAACTAAGATAAGAGGTCAAAGGACGAATTAATTAAGCAACATCTCTTAGATGAGTGCTTCCTAACCCCAGTTCTCAGGGACCTCGTGTGTCTGCTGATTTTTACTCCATGACTTACTGATTACTTTGATGAGAGTATTAAAGTGATGGCCTTGATGAGGTAGTTCTGAAACCCAGATATTGGTAGAGTACAGAACTGAAAGCAAATTATGTTCGTGCCTTCTGGTTCTTGCCCCAGCTGAGATTGAAGTGTTCCTCTGGAACACGGCTAGGAGTCACTGAACCTGGTGATCATAAAGCACTGCCTGAAACAATTGACCAAAATCTTTCCTATGGTGACTATGGTCTAAGCATGATGGATCATTAATAATCATGAGGAGGAAGAACAGCTGGTTTCAAAGTGTAAATTTCAGAACCTGTCAAACAATGTGAATGACATGTAAAGTTGAAATGTAAATTTCATTTATGTATTGTATGTCTCCCTGGCTAAAGTTGTTTGGCGAACAAATAAATTGGAAGCCAAATAATATAAGTCTGTGAAGTAAATGAGTTGTTGGAGTTGATGGTGGCAGTTTCAATCTCTACCTTGAGCTGAGTTCGGTAGGTCTCCACCTCCTTGGTATCGGCAGGCACCTTGTTGACCTCTCTGAGGCGGTCTTCATACTTCTTGACCACTTCCTCCGCGCCCTGGGTGCTGCGGATGACCAGGTCAATCGTCTTCAGCCTGAGAGAATGAGAGTGGTAAATGAGGTTAGGGCACAGCTAACTTTCACAACAGGAACACAAACTGGAAGCAGAGGGCAGCTGATGGATGGGTCATGTACTTGTCAAGGTAGACAGAGGAGAGGCTGTAGACATGGTCCATCTTCTGCAGGGTGATGTCAAGCTCAGAACGCAGGACTGGAGCAGAGCTGGATTGCTGAGGTGATGCCAGGACTGCCTCGGTCTTCTCTGCCACCTTGTCCAGGTTCCTCTTGATGCCCTCCAGCTCAGTGTGGATTTTCTGAGGACACAGTCAGGAAGTCAGACCTTAGCTCTAAAGTGTTTGACATAGACAGCACGATTATAAAAGCTGCATCTTGTCATTTCTGACGGAAAATACATTGGCTTGGTAATAACTATAAATTATCTCTGTTCTGTTTACTACATTACAGGAAGTCTCCATCCCAAAAGCTTTATAAAGAACTCCTTACTCTTCTGTGCTTTTAGTGTGAATGTGTTATTTGATGTTGTGTTTTTCTGCTGGAAAATAAACTATGGAAAATGCATATCTTGATTAATATACTGTATATGCTCGGTACTATATTCTATGCATGTCTGATTTTCAGTCTGTCAATATGTCAATATGTACCATTTTTTTAAAATAACAGAATGAGCCTAACATGGCATCTCTGCACTTCATATCTAGTTTTGATTAATCACAAATAATATTCCTCCCCTGGGTAGAATTCAATAATGATTACAGTCACTGGAAACTTCCTATAACAAATACATAAAATCTAATTAAATAAAAAGCACTATGATTGTTTCTAAGGTCAACAAAGTCATTATCCAGAGCTCTGCTTTTCAAAAGGATAAAGAGTTTTATTACTTATCCAACTACAATATACAGACACCCCATTACTGATAAGACATTTATTAGAACTCTTTCCCATAAGAACAACAAAAAAGGCTTTCAGAAGATCAAAGCAAGTTGCCCACCAATATACTGAGCAGAGACAGGAAAAATTGGACAAGACTGGGGTACAGCCTCCACATACTGTAAGTTATTTTTCCAGATCTGTCAGCCAAGTATCCACTATGTCACTCCTGTTGACAAAAAGCCATCACTGATCTCCATAGAAAGTGTCTTCACTAGTGGCATCATTGTGCGGTATAGCATTACTACAATGCATGACAAAGATGAGCTACAAGAGGTTATGGTGACGGCACAAAGGATTATAGGATATGCTTAACCACCAATCGGTGAGATTCACAACATCTGCTTTTGCAATAAAGCGATCCTTCATTTAGGATCCCATCCATCCCAGCCATAAACTGTTCTCCCCTCTGCGCTCTGGCAAGCAGTACCACACTATTAAACACACTAGACTCAAGAACAGCTTCTATCCCACTGCAGTACGCATCCTCAACAGCTAACTGCAATGCCTCAGACTCAATACACATCTGCACTATGCACTTTTTGCATGGTCCACCATGTTTTGTTTTCTCAATACTGCATATTTACTGTCCTACAACATATTTATTGTTCTTGTTGTTACTGTTTATTATGTTTGTAATATACTGTCTACATCGTGTGGTGTTGTCTCTTGTACTGTGTGTGTCCTGAGAGATCATCGTGATTTAAGAATTCCAACATATGTGTACACATTGCAATAAACTACTCTACTGATCTCTCAAACCTGCAGAGGCACCAAATCAGGCGGCACCAAAATGGGTTTGCCTGTTGTACTATGCCCTCCCAGTGTGCTTCACTCTGCTCTCTACACCATCTGCTCAGTCCCCAAAGGCTTACTCCCTCACTCTCTCTGAAGCATATTGCATATTGCTTGTGATGCCGATCAGCAATTTGTAATAGTGAAAGAAAATGCAGCATTGGGCTTTCTTTTCTCATTTTGTTGTAGTCATTTACTTAATTTCCACTGTAAACACAAATTCCTTATAATATCAATAGATGCACCTGCGTTTGGACAAAAATGTTATTTAAAACAACTAATTGTCAATAAAACAACCCAACTGCACAACAAAAACATTTTGCTCATCACAAAGATGCTGCACCAGGGAATCCTCACTTTTACTTTTGGGTCGGGGCATCGGGACATTGATATCACGTTTATTTAATAAAAACACTTTCACGAACTTCTACTTTAAGAAATGCTGAAATATCTCAGAAGAGTAAGATGCCCTTCTGTTTAAGCCATACATACAGTATTATAAAATGATTCTCCTCACATTTGAATAGACAATTACTGAATCTTTCTCTACAGGACGTCAAAAAATGCAGTGTAACTTTAAGCCAGCAGTATTCCTTTACCTGAAACCCTCTGAGTGGTATTTACAGTAAAAGAGTTTTTTTTAAGACGCTAAAGTGTACTGTCCCTGTACCTTCTGCTCTGTTATCCTCTGGGCACAGTCCTTCAGGGGGTCCTTGTCCAGGGGCATTCGGATCTTGTGGATGGTGCGAGACTCACAGCCTTCCAGCTGCAGGCGGATGTCCTTGATCTGGGAGATGAAGCTCTTGCACACTGACTCGTCTTGCTCTCCTGGATTAAGAAGAATGACAATTGCATTTAAGACTCATTTTTATAGGCATAACAATTCCTTGTCATATTTGGTAAGAATTGGAGATGTATAGAGAGACAGGCCTGATGGCTCTTAAGTTCATGTTTGGTTTTAAAATGTTTAAATATTGTTTTGACTGTTTTTTGTATTGCGTTTATCACATAGGTTTACTAAGCCCCGTGTCACCGCCATCATGTACACAATCCAACTAATGTGTATTAGTCAGAAAGAGGTTAAAATCTAGTCTGAGCAGGAACTAAAGTATTGTACAGTGTTCTAGAAGTATTGTTCTTTATTATAATATGCAATCGTATTGTCTCAAGTAAGTCTGATAGAATGTCCGCATAAATTACAATACCTATCTATTCCTCTAGCAAACTGAAATATAGTGAACCATTTAAAATGCAACAAATGCTATGGGTTCTGTCATTCCGATTTGTTGTGTTTTTCATGCTTTCTTTAACAGTATATGAAATAGTATATTTAAACGTTCACACACAGTGACAAATCAATTGAGCATTTCATTAAAATCTTCAATCTCTTAAAGAATACATCACAAAAAAGGTTTCACACCAAATCTACACAAAGTGCAAAAACAACATGCATGTGGGTAGTTTTATCAACAGCTGCAGGGCTTCAAACACTGTAGTGGCTAAAACACAGCAACCAGTGCGAGTATGTGATGGAAGGAGAGCACAGCTTCATCCGTCCACATAAAGATTTATAGCTTTGGCCAATTAGCAACTAAGTGGGTGTCCTAAAGCAACAAAGTGGTCACCAGCATGCCACTCACCCTTCAATCTTATCATCGACCCTGCAATATGAAGTTAACAGTTATCTATTGTTTGGTTCCCATAAACCAAAGAATTATCACCCTCTAGGGTACATGCACATTGTGTAAAAGATCAAACACTTTGAGAAGCTCTGGGCAGGCAATTGAGAATATCCATTGCTTCCATCTTAATACCCCATTTAGATGACAATACAGTTATATAATACAGTTATATAAGTAATATTAAAAGATGTATTTTCTTCATACACACCGAGATATTTTCATTAAATCAAATAGCTTCATCACTTGAATGCACTAAGACTGTAATTGCTTAAAAGAGTGTTAGACATGCAAGAAAAGTTTCATTCTACAGTGAAAAACAAAAGAGGAAAACATACAACAAATTAGCTATAAAAACAAATTCTTATGTTAATCTTTTTTACCTAGTTTATTGGCAGCACATATAATTAAGATAAATCCATATAAATTCCTATTTTCATATAAAAATCCTAAAAATGTCTATTTTGAGGGGTGTTTCCTTGAAATTAGTACTGTAAGTTGGTAAGATGCCTACAGTGCTTGGGCAAAAAAAATCTCTCACTCCTGTAGGTGGGGTATGCGTCATTATTTAAGGAAGCTTCGTGTTATTAACAGCACCGAGGCTCAATTTTTCCAGTACCCAGATGACAAAATCAGCATGAAATATACTCTTTACTTCCTATTTGAAACATTTCCAGTGCAGTGCGGTTCAGATACTAGCTTTACTTTCTATGTTCTCTGATAAAATAGACAATTTTTGTACAAACATTTAGAGCTGCAGTTTGCTCTTAATTGGCAGAACTTTGTTGCTCACTCTTGATGGACAATCTTTGCTTTAGCTTCTTTCCAGTGAAAACATTCAGTTTTGTCACTGCTCTCCTTGTTGGTACTCCAAAGATCTACCAGTTACAGTATACGCCCTATCATGGAGGTTTTACAGATGTGGAGATCACACGCTTTCAATTCTCTAAGATTACACCACACTTCAGTTAAAATATGGATAACCTCTTAACTGTTAAGAACAGATAAACAGATAAAAAGTATTATTAACTTGAAACCTAACTAAGAAATTGTTTAGGCTACAAAGTTATATTATACTACAAACTTCTTGACCAACAGAAGAGCTATATACAAAAATGAATCAAAATGATTCAACCAGTTGCGAATTAGAAGATATTAACTGAAGCAATCCCTCAGAGATTATCCTCTGTAAGGATGCAGGGAGTGGTGCTGTGTGTCTACCAGGACTCACCTTTCTCCAGTGTGCGCATCAGGGTTTCGTAGTGGTGGGTGGACTTGCTGTAGTCACTCTCCACCTGCATGCGGTCATCTGCTCCGAACAGCTGGGAGTCCTGACTGTCTCTCATGAAGTCCTGGTAATGCAGCTCCAGGTTCCGGAGGATCAGCCTGTACTCCTCAGGCTTCAGGGTCTTAAACTGAGGCACAAAGAAAGCCTCACGTCAGTGATTTCACCCCCTCCTCCACCTTGGATGTAGAGGTAGCAATGGACTCCCTCAAAATATGATGAATCAGCAGGAGAGAACTAATTATTACCACACTGGACTACTGCAGCATTGGATACAGACTCAAAGCAAGTAAAAAATGAACTGGCAAAACACTTTTCCAAAGAAAAAGCGACTATTCATAGAGCATTTCAATTTTATTAGGACCTGCATTCTTGAAATAAGTGAAGGCCTCACACTCATTTAAAACGTGAATGAGTAGACTTCATAATATCACAAACAGGGTGTGAAGATTATTTAGTTAACTGAATTTCCAAAACCCCTGAGCATACAGTAACTGAAGAAGGACACCACTCATCATTGTTTTCCAAAAATACTTCATTTGAAAGTAAGTTAAATTGAATTTAACTATAAACTAGTGTTCTCCACTTTATCAGGAGCGAAGGGAGATGAAAAGGGGCTCTTGTCTGAAGAGCTCATATGTATAACAACTGATGCAAACAAAAATTTGTATAAAATAATCTTGGTAACATTAAAATGCAAAACCAAAAATCCAAAACACTGGACTACTGTATATGAAACTGCCCTTCAGTGAAAAAAGCACAATCAGACATACAGATAACAGACAAGGTGATAGAACAATTATACAAAGCTCACCAAAGTTCACCACCCTCATATCCAACCACCCACTTTAACATTCTTGCAGGTTAGCCAGCTGATTAATTATGATTAGAATTCACACACAATTATTTCTTATATTGGTCAGGTATGCAATGCAATTTTTGGGGAGGATTAGCTTAATATTTCAATACCTGAGATTCATCACTCTTTCCATCTTATTTCTTCTTATTTTAGTACTAAAGTATCAACAAATTTCAAATGGAAGATTAATTAAACTTTTAGAAGCTTCTATCTTGCACCTTTTCTGTTTCGCTGTCATGCTGTTTTGCCTATTCTTTTTACTTTTCTAGGTACAGCTGCATGCTTTTCATATATGAAGGCTGTAATAGAAGAGGGCCCAGTATACATATTGTGGTCCATTACTATTAAAGGGTCATAGTGTCTTCTGGTTTTCGTTCTACTCAAGTTCTGATTTACTGTATTGAAACTAGCTATTGGCTCGACTAGAAAAACCTAACTTTCTTCCATTTGATTATAAAAAAGACCTTCAAAATCTTCTGGGCTAGAGAGGTGGATCTTTGGTACGATTTCCTACCATGATAATGTTCCAGGACTGAATCTGCTGAATGTCACGGATCAGGTACTGCCAGGACAGCAAGCTCTTCATGTCGATGTGCAGGTGGTGCCACATGGTTACCAACTTCTGGTGGACTGAATCCAAGCTATACAAAGCACCAAAAATGTGAATTCCATAAAATACCATTTTACAATGTATGAGACAGAGGAAAAAAATAAATCTGGTGATATCTGGTGATATTTTTAATAAACTGTACTATTACCAAATATCTGTAAGACAAAAGCTTTAGACTTTTATTTGGGATGTTTTCTCTAACAACAAAAATTATCCCTATATATCTTTACTGCAACCTGAGCATGACTACATAATTCATTTCGCTTGCTTGAGCAACTGGTAACAACATCCACTGGAGTGTCCCAAAGTCCTTTGATTAACATGTGAAACCAGTCACCAGTGATAGTGGATTTCTCCAACTAAGCCAATATCTGGTTCCACATGCACGGCTCTCATACCTGGAGACAGAGTCCAGGGCCTCCTTGTTTGGAGGTGGGATGAGGAAGCACACTGATGGCACCACAGCTTCATTCCCTGAAGCATTCAGCACTTTCCACTTGAAGGGCTGGGAGTTATTCAACAGAACGCATTCATCCCCTTTGTGCACTGTGATCTGGAGGAGAGATAGAGCAAAAACAGCTATTTTGGGCCATTCTTTCACATGCACTGTTTGCAGAACCGTGAGCAGTGGTCAGTGACTGTTCCAACCGTTTGCTCTGCAGACCCTCACCTCCATCTGCTTGAAGTCACACACAGCCTGGACTGGAAGCTTGCTTCTCAGGGGGTTGGCTGGGTTACGAGGCTTCAGCTGGACAATGGTCTTGGCACGCTTATTGAGCCCCGCCAGGTGAGCCTTGTACTCATTTAGCTGCTCCTTCTCTTCCTGCAGGGGGAAAGAGCACAGGGAACATCAAAATGCTGCTGAGAGGATATTTTCCCCTCTCAGTCCTTAAATGCCAGTGACTTCAATACCTACAGTTTTGACTTTCGTTTCACATCATTTCAATTCTAGTCACCAAAAAAGGCCACCTTTGGTTTAATCATAAAACTTGTCAGAGAGCACTGTTTCCAGGTGCTTAGATTTTAACGGGAAAGGAACTGACACTTTGCTGCAAGACATTTCTCCCATGTATTTATAAAAGAAACTCAGAATGAAAAAAAAATGTTTTCCAGCTGGTCAAGTTTAGTTTTTAATTTGTAGGAAAAGGCCCTCTAAGGCCATTTATGCCATCTAGCCCATTTGGAACTTAGTAGTAAATAGATTAAAGAACATAAGAATGTGTTCACAGCAAAGACATCACTTGTAACTCCATTGATATTTATCTAAACAACACAAAATGGAAATAATAATCCTAAACGATGGCTTTCAGGAGCTCCACAGTTACCATGGCATCCTGCAGCAGGTCCTCGAGCCGTGTGACCGTGATAGACCTGTCGCAACTGTATTTCTTCTTCATGGATTCCTGAATCTTCTTCAGGTGTTCATCCGCATCCTTCACATCTGAGAAGAACTGTAGAGGGAATCAGAAAATGCTTCTAATTTATTTGACTGATGGTAGTGATAAGGGTAATGACGGGATCAAGAAAAGTGATCAGAAAATACAAAATATTGGTCTTTAAAATGAGTTGTGAAGGAAAATGAGTTCTGAAATGACAGGATTTGAAACAAATTTTCTAGAACAAAAAAAAAACACACTTATCTCCTTTCTCAGGGCTTTAGTCTTTCAAAGCTTCACACTGGACCGTTCTGAGTAGCACAGACATGACAGCGAACTACGTACCTGGAAGTATGCTGTATTTTCCTTGAGGTGAGCCTCAATGCAGCAGCACAGTTGTAGAATCCAACTCCACTGCGTCTGCAAGGCTGCCATGAAGGCCTAGGAATTAAAAACAGGCTTAATTGAAACAGTTGCCTTATTCTATGCTCTGCCATTTGTTCAAAGAATACTCAAAAATCAAAACAAAATTGAAGTGTAGCGATGGAAGAACAGTCCGACAGTGTGTGCCTCCCCATAGCCCATTCTCGACCTACTATTCTGAATTTATTGTAAAGTTACTCACCTCCACTGTCTTCCTGCCTGGGTGCCCTTCCTTCAGCAGCCTCTCGCCATTGGCCTGAGTGTCATTCACCTTCTTCTCTCTCTGCTCCAGCTCCCGCATCAGACCCTGAATCAGACAGAAGAGACCCTCAGGACCTTCTTGGACCAGACAGGCAGTACAAACACACTGATGGGACAATACTGTAGTTTTGCTACTGTTGATGTAGTTTGGGTTTATCATTTTCATTCCCACTTTTGGAACATCACAAACTGCAGTACACTTGACCAAACCAATTTCCATAGTTCTAAACAGTGGCAGACAACTCAGGACCATCTCTGTTCTCCTCAAATATACGTGAGTACACAATATGATGCCTAATATTTTCCCCTGAACTTTTGTGCTTTGTGTAAAAGTAGGTTAGGGTGTAAACTTGTATTATCTGTCGCTGGGGTCAAAAGAATCACCGTACCGAGTAGTTGTCTTTCTTTGCGGTCATGTTGGTGTTGCGGTCACTCCAGTCGTAGTTCACTTCCTCCTCCTCTTTGTCGTTCAGCCACATGAGCTCCTTGGTTGCAGCCGACACAAAGGCGTGAAGCTGGTCGAGGTTGCGGAGACGAGACTTGGAGGAAGTCTATAAAAAAAAAGAAAAGACATTATATAGGGACCTTCAATTTCTGTGAGAAGCCCTAAAAATCGAAACACTAAAAAATCTAGTTGACACTTACCAGCAGCTTGGTATACTGCAGGTCCAGCTTCCCTAAATAATCTCTGTAAGCCCCCCTGCTCACGGGTGAGAGCTGATTCTGAATGAAAGAGAAAAGGCGAGTTTCACTTTACATTCCCAGACTGAGGGTTTGATAAATCAAAAAGCAAGAGAGTCAGCACATAGCTGGCATGTGTAGATTGTGCATACAGTGCTGTGGAAGAGTAAAGTTGTTGTTTTTTTTAGTTTGAAATTTCCCATATGACACTGAAAGGACGCCACAAGTGGGTGCTGTCTGTTACCTCGTCTGCGCGCGCCCGCTCGATTTTGGCGCGGAAGTCTTCGATGGACTGATGGAGGCCACGGTGGCTGCCCAGGTGGGACTCCACAGAGGGGAGGTCGGAGCCCCACTCTGCCCCGTCGATGCGCCGCTGATTCTCCTCCACCCACGTCAGCAGGTCCTGGATGTAGCGCAGGGTCACATCGTCCAGCTCGGGACGCGTCCGCATGGTCTGTTGCTGGGCGGTCTGGGTCAGGACAGCTTGAGTCTGGGGCACTCCTGACTTCAGACGCAGGTTGTACTCGGTGCGCAGAGCCACCAGGCGCTCATGAAGGCGGTACACCCTGAAGACACACACATGGCGCGTTACTGAACACGAAATTTAAATGCGATGCCTCGGGGAAGCTTCCATTTTTACAACATGTCTTCAACATGCAGAATCGTTCTTAAACACAATTTACATATTAACCACGGGATTTCCAAGTAGCACTAAAGAAAAGAAGCCGATTCCCACTTTCTTAAATTGTAAAAGGTGAAAGGCGTATATCCAGCTGCTGTAGCACTGGAAAAACAGTGTAGATTTAGAAAATAAGAGTTATTTAAAGAATTAAAAGAAAAGTTAAAGTTGAAAAGGATAAAAGAATATTGAAAACTATACTACATAAATATAGTCAATAAATATATAATTATATATTATATGATAAATAAATATACAATTACATATAATATACAATGATATATAAAATACTAATATACCGCCTGAAATACCTCAGTGTCTTGAACAACAAAGTTATATTTTGTCTCCAGACATCACTTTCAAAGCAGTTTATCTCTATCTCTATGTGTTCATTCCTCCTCCTGTCACTACAGACTGTTGTGATGCTGCATTCTGGCCTGCAGGAGACTCTGCCCAGGCAGGGGGTTCTCACCTTCGGTACATCTGCTCCGCCTGCAGGTGACGGCCGTCCTTCAGCACCTGGACATCATTGAACAGCAGCCGGATCATCCCGTCAGCCTTGTCCAAGTCCTTCTCAATTTCGGCTGTGTTCTGGGCAGGCTTCCCCATGTTCAGGAAACGGATGTCCTAGAGAAAGAGCAGACGGCAGTGAGTTGCATTTCGTCGGTACATATCTGAAATTCATCACTGTCATCTCGTGCAGAAATATAGCTTGGGAACATCGTTGGAATAAAGGTCAGGAGAGCAGTAGACTTAATGCGTAAGTTTTCTATACTTTCTTTGCATCATTCCACCTGACATCTCAATTACTGAACTAAATTTATTGCCTGAATCGAACAAATACATTGCTTATGTTTCTTTAAAATGTTGTCAGTTCTTCAAAATCTGCAGATTTCAGCTCACATACCGTATAAGCATTTGTTTTGAGTTATCTCAAACAATCTGTTAAATTTGAGGTTCAGCTTTTTTTAAAGCACCTTCATTGATCAAGCCACAAGGGAGGACTATAATATGAACTTCTGACTCATAAGAGAACATTTTACTTAACAAAACTGTACATCATTTTACAATGCAAGCTATGTAAAAATAAGAATTTGATTGCACTGAAATAAATTCTACTTTAAATGTAAACTATTGGTAAGAACAGTGGTACCCCTGGAATAGCATGTGAGTTAGCCCATGTAGCAAGCTAAATTCTCCGTTAAACACTTTTGCAAGTTTTCTATTCTAACCAGTGGGGGAAGGCTGAAGTGCATTTCTCATACTACATTTTGACCTGAAAATAAAATACTGAAACATCCAGCCTAGTGCCACAGCCCCTTACCGCCTGCAGGAGAGCCTCCACCTGGTTCAGCTGCTCCTCACAAACCCCAGACTCCATCTGGATCTTGCTGACGATTCTCTGCAATCTCTCTAACCTGGAGCCAGAGTTAAACATATATACAGTATATTACATATAACATATAATAACATATAATATAACCTAAATTACAAATTTCAAATCTCTTTAAGATCACTGCCTTAAAATTCCTTTAAAAGGATTGTATCACATATACTGTATAGGGAAGCATGACATCAATCTATCCTACAGCAGCTAGCTTATACTGTATGTGACAGCATGATGACAGCAGAACTCAGGTGCTGTGTATGTGCACTGTAAATACTGTGCACAAAATTGGAGTTTTATTCCACACAAACAGATTTAAAATAAAGTTTAGTCACATTGTGCATGTATTTTAACCATTTAGTATGAAACACTTGAAAGAAAATAGGTGGTAAAAGACAATGTAAAACAACTAAATTTAAACTAACTGTTTTTCAGAGAAGTATTTTCTACGTGCATTTATAAATCTATCTAGCCTGTTTGCTAAATCTTTGCTAATGGAATGCACTTATTTGCAATTCACTTTTTTTCATTTCTAGTTTTAGGTTTATTAAAAAAAAATCCTCTTTATGCCTTGATGTGCAGGACTGAAATCCTCAGACAACATGGCGAAAGCTCTATAATTCAGTACGCCATGCTACCAACAAATGTCATTAAGCCGACAAAGCTAGCATTTTATTCAGTCCTCCTTCTTATAAAATTGTTAGTTAAAACAGACACAAACTAAAAGGAAAAACTCACTGCCTCTGTGAAGAAAGCAAGTACTGTAAACTCAGGCTGAACGTAACAAAGTCCATGATGGGGAAAGTTTTACAAACTCGAATCCTCTCACAAGCCCCAAGCTAAAAGGAAAATCTCTTCAAAATCCCCTGCAGACCAGTTCTGTTAAAAGGCTGTGGACCAGGTTAAACAGTGGCATTGAGGACGAGTGCCTGGGCTCCCTTCCACAGAGCTTTGTAGAGATACTGGTTCCTACAGAGCTCACCGAGAGCCAACAACACGACTATCTTGTGATAAAGTCCCCTCCCTTGTAAAATAAAGTGATTCTTGTGAGATGGAAAACCCAAACACATGCTTAAATAATCAGCTGAGACAAAAATATATTTCTGTTGCAATGACCTAAATTGTGCAGTTGGTTCTGGAGCTTTTCCAAGTGCAAATAGATCAGCCAGACTTAAATGATCTTCGCAGAACTACTTACAATATTAATAATCCTAAGAATGAAGAATGGTTAAAACACCATCAGCTGCAGTAATCCCAACTTTCATTTGCTGCATTTACTCATGCTCGTTTCTATTCTGGATCCTCAAACGTGGGTCTCTGTGAAACTTATTAGCAGGCAATTCAGCATTTATAACTTGTGCTTGTTTCATTTACTATCTTTTAAATTTCTGACCTCAATAACTAAATTATCCCTGAATTATTGAATGAATGATTTGCACAAAATTCACATACTGGAAACCCCAACAGCAGAAAACAGAAATGTGGACAAAGATCTATAACTGGTGTAATCCCTGATCAAAGGCCATTAACACGTCAGGGAGCAGTAAGGTGTAAGCTTTAACTTCATTTAATTGTACCATAAGAACGATATCAGAAAAGTAATAAAAGCTCACCTTGTTCATTTGGTGGCTACTAGCTTTCTAGTCAACCAATACCACCGCATCAATCACATTCTCCAATGATAATGACAAAAAAAAACCTGAGATCCAAAATAGGGGATTTGAACTGGAAATATGTGATGTTAAGAAATGCAATACATTGATCCAAAGTGGATGGCATTTGTTTTGGTGCAAAACTAATAACAGGACCATTGCATATTCTGCCAATCAGCTATGAGCTAGCTGGTGTGCATGTCAATGTAAGAAGATGAGTTATTAGCAAAGAGAATCATAGCTTAATAAATAAAAATAAATCAAGATGCACTATTATGGTAACTTGTATGTGACACCGATGTTTGCCTTGCTAGGTTCTGATTTTGCATAGGGATCTCCTTAAAATAACAATGTTTTGGGATTTTATTCTGCTGCTTCCTTCAGATTCCTGCAGTGGGCTCTCTAAGCATTAAAGACACAATTTGTACTGGCTTCAGAAAGGCATGTGATTGTAGCACACTTTCCCTTCAGGGTATTAAAACCACCGTCAATGTCTGTATGTCTTGGTAGACAACTACTGTATTGTTTCTGAGGAATAAAACACCCTCAAGCAACACCACAGACCAAACATTTCAGTTGCTAATAGAGCTTACCAGGCTCTCAAATAAAAAGGGATCTCTTTTAAACCAAAGCAGCACCCCCTATCATGCATATGACTAAATAAACACATCATTTGTCTGGAAAAAAATAATCCTTATTATTTTTTTAGATTTTCAGGGCAGACTGGCAGATCTGCAGAAGTTCTGTTTCTTTTCAGGTATCCTAGGTGTAAATCAGATGTCTTCAATGTGACCTTTACCTCAAGACCCATTATAATTTAAAACAAGGACAGTTGCTGGTTCCCCATTTCTACAATCCATTCGGCTCAATCGTTTTAAAGAATGACCACAACAGAAAAGGCGTTTTCCATTCCTTTCATTTTCAAAGCCCTGAAAACTGCTGTCAGTTCACGCCCCACCCACCTATCAAACTCTGCCCGGAGGAGCCTCTCCCTCTCCAGAATAGCCACGTGAAGGCGTCCCCACTCCTTCTCCACATCAAGGGGGTGGAAACCTGGTGGAACCTTGACTTGGCCAGCCTGCACAGCACCCTGTTGAGAGGACACACAGGAGCATCAGTTACCATCTCCATGCAAGAGCCAAAAACACAACTAGAATTCACAGTCCGTTCTGTTATTTTTGCTTTAAACATTCACCAAAAGCGTACAAATGTTGTATTTCTGAAGTATGAAGTATACAAATGTTGAATTTCTTGTGTCATCACTGGCAATGCAATATTTATGGAAGTTTGTCCAGGGGTAAAAATAAGGCCATGGGATTTTCTCTCCATACAGTCAAATAAAACAATAAAAAGTTTGACACAGCAAGTTGACCATGATGGAACTCACCTCAAAGGACTTATAGATGAGCTTAGAACGATTCTTGTCAGCTTCTTTAGCAGGGAGTTCAGTTTCTTTAAACTTCAAGAACTGTCGCCACAAAACCTTAAGAGACAAAATTGAATCGGCTCGTTATTTCCACCATCTTTAAGAGCTAGCCTGCTGAGTACAATCAGATAAAAATTGTTTGGCTGACCACTTTACTATTAATGAAAAGCAAGACTACATGGGTGCATCCTGAGTGACACTACTGGAACACATTAATGTCACAAATCCCGAAATGAAACTAAAAATTAATGGTTAGCGTATCCCACTGTTGGCAAAGAAGAAAATGAAGTCATTAAATTAAACTATTTTTTAATTAAAGGTACTTAAGAACCACATTGGCCAAATCAGATCAGACAGAGTAAGATACTGTACATGTACTGTATACTGAGCATGACAACTGCAACAATTTCACATCGAGAAATGTTTTGCAGCAGGTATCATTTTATTGAACAGACATGAACTAGGTAAATTCATCATGCATTAACATTTATCAACTGCAATGATCAACGAGGTGTCTGCAGTGAAAGGGCAGCAGCATGTGTAGCCTCTGTTAGACATGTGCTGTAAGTCTGCAACACCTGCTTTACACTGGGTTGCAGATACTGTTCTGAGGGATTCTGATCCAACCTGTTCACTGGCCCAAAATGCCACACACATGTGCTCATGCAACAAATGTTCAATGAGCTCAAAATGGTGAGTTAAACATGTATGGCACATGAATGGCCATCCTGCTGGAATGCTGTGACCTCAGTAAGGGCAGCAGGCAACATCCCCGCACTTGATAAATAAAAACTCTGTGAGCCTGGATGCCACCAATCACTAGTGTTCTGCACCTCTGTACCACTCTTGCCGATACTCCCCAAAAGCTCACTCCCCATAATTTCTATCCCTTTATTTTATTCTGTTGATGCATATTTTTGCACATAACCTGTTACCTTTTTGTTGCTTTGCACATTGCCTGTTGTTGTTTTTTGCACATTGCCTGTTGTTGTTTTTTTTGCACATCGTCTGTTGTTGTTTTTTGCACACTGCCTGTTGTTGTTTTTTTCTGCACATCGTCTGTTGTTGTTTTTTGCACACTGCCTGTTGTCTCTGTCTTTCTTTTGCTACACAATTGTATTGTTGTTGTTGATGTTGTTGTTTTCTCTTTGTACTACTTATGTCCGAGAGCTAGATAAATAGCATTTCGTTACAACATATACCATGTATATGAGTGTAATGACAATAAACTTGAACTTGAACTTGAACTTGATACCCATTGGGCTGGTCGACACAAAACTCTGATTCATCACTAAAGAAGACCTCTCTCTACTGCTGGCGAGTTCATCTGAGGTACTGTAGCTGAGTCCAGCCTCCCATACAATGTTTTAGGGACTCAACTGTTTCTTTCTTGGGTTCTTTTTCTTGATTTTCACCCAGCTTCTTATCTCATTTCCCTAGTCCACTAGGCACTCTCACTAATGAGGTAACTTAGTACTTGTACAACTGTCAAAGTCACTCAAGTGTTTCCTGCTCATTCCTGAACAACAAACACATCAAACTGACTCTAAAACTAATCAAGGCATACAATTTAATTGTTTTTTGGACAGCACAGGTTGGCTCAGTTCATCTGATGTAACATCTTGAAGAAAGAAACTGGCAAACTGGCTTGTAATACATAATCTGGTTGTCTTTTAGCCTTATACTTGGTTATACATCAGTAATCAAACAGCACAAAGTTGTAATCCCAAATCTTCTATTAGTAATCTACAACAATACCCAACAAGAGCACTTAGTCACATGGGAGTCAGATGTTTGATTCTTTTGAAGAAAAGTAAAACTCAAATTAAAAATCAAGTTAAAACTCAATGTGCTGTTTGCTCAAAACAGTTTAAATGTAAGGGAGGCATGAAACCATCTGCAAATAACATTGTAATGGATGGTCTGACTAAGAATGCTGGTTAAGGTTAATAATACTTTAAAAGGTTTTTAATGTTTTATAATTTAAAACAAGAATTTCCACCCAGGTGAATGTGGTTTGTTTTTTTGATAGAAGGTCTATTCTTAAAATAATTATACTCCAGGCTACATAGAGGCACATTTAAGAGCCTGCCTCCTTTAAAACAGTACCTACAGGAGATCATTTGATAAAATTTAAATGAGCATGTGAACTGTTCACCTCACTCTTCTGTGATTATTGTAATAATTTTGTTTTAAATGGGCTGAAAGTGGTGTTTAAAAATGCTTTATTTAATATTTATCTCTGGATTATTATGGGAGTGGCAGTGCTGCCAGGGAGTGGACCAAGTACTGAGGTAATAAAAATAAATGTGTGCCTGGGAGCATTTATCAGATCACTCCTCCAGTTAAGACACGTATTACAGGAGAGCTCCACCCAGTCAACTTCAGCCCAAACAACGCCCTGCTATTAAAACCAACTACATTTCCCCTAGAAAACAAAGAAAATCCATTCTTTTTGATCTTTAATTTAACAGCACAGGCTTCCAGCTTTGTTCTGGAGTATAAAACAGCAAGTAATTAGAGAACCTATACAGTAAAAAAAAGATGACAAAATAGTTCTAGTATATTCTTTTGGTTAAGCTGAACAGTGTCTGAAATTGAAATCCATGTACCTTACATGGTGCATCCAAAGCAAAAAAACTAAGATCCAAGTACAAATGAAGTTTTTGTCTTTTCTACAGGACAATATTTTTCTCTTTTCTTATTGTACTTTCACCTCCAAGCACTTTTGGAGAATGCTGCTAAAAGAAAGGTTTGTGGCTGTAGACTTTTCGCTGATGGCACAATTGCATGAGATCATAAAAAAAGGTCACAAATGAGAGAGGCAGCCAGTCAGCCCATTATGCTGGTATCTTGTTACTTTATGGGTCTCACCAAGGGGAATTCCCAGGGAATCTGCTTCAACAACATGACACCTTGAGGGACCACCATTTGTGCAAAACCCCTCAAGATCACTTGAGTCCAATTTTCCTCATAACTTCCAGGTGTCCCTTCACAACCAGTAATTAAATCTGAAACACAAGTCAATGTTTAACGTGGCTCTCTACTAACTGCTTCAAAGTAACCTACCACAAGTAAACAACGACATACAGGCACATTCTCAAACAAAGTGCACTGGCCTGATGTGTTATAGTGCCAACAGAGCTCACTCACAGAGACCTCGGTCTCTGCACCCCAGACCCCGGGCAGAAGCAGACTCACCTCAATCTCCTCGTAGCTGGTGGGGAACTTTCTTTCCTCGAAGATGATGACGTGGTGGCGGATCCACTGCAGCAGCAGGGTGACCAGCTCATAGTACTCTTGCCAGCGCAGCTCCAGCTCCTGTAGAGCATAGTAGGCATGGCTCGGTCAGGGCTTTTACCAGCATTGAGAGCCTGCCTTCCTTCATTCGCTAACTTGCTTACTTACATACCAGCCATAATCAATTCAAGATCACAGTTTCACGGAATTGGGCACAGATGAAGAAATGCAACCTTGTTTCAATTCACAAGACTTTCATTGGTTTATTCACTTAAAGAGGTGGTAGCTCTCCATAATGTCCTTTTGCTCCTTTAGGATAATGCTCTCATTTATTATTTTCACAGCTTAAATAAGTTATATTTTACTGCCACATTGAAAAGTATAAAACTGATCTGGCATTAGAAGTGAAGGAACTGATGCAATTTTGACGCCAAACCATGTACTTGTGATGCTATGCGGTCGGGTACTGCACACATTAGATGCAGAAGAACCTTCCTATTCATGGTTCTTGTGGGAGCAAAAGCAGACCTCCATCAGCTTCTTCCAAATCATGTGACGACAGATATATAGCAGGAGTGGGAACTGTGAAAAATTTATCTCATCATTCATAACAGCATCATAATGACAGCTCAGATCCCTATCATTAGAACACATTACCTTGCAAACAAGGTTAAAGAGACACAATAGTGGAATTGTGAACCTAAACAATAAGATATGATAAAAAGATTCAGAGTGAAACAAAAGAGAACTGACATAACAAACAAACATGTCTCTCAGACTTTAACAGTATATTAATATTGTTTCACAGTTTCTTATTAATTTGGCTTCACAATAACCATTTCATCAAATATGCAGCTGAAAGTTCTTACAGACAAATACAGTATGAAAAAATGTGGAAAAACGTCTATAGGAAAAACCTGACGTATTTTTTTTAACTGTCCTAAAATTCAAGCAAAACAAAAAGGAAGCAGTTTAAAATGTAGGAGATTATGTGGAGAGCAAGTAGCCACTGATTTACACATACTCTGATCAAGCCCGGAAATACAATACTGGAAATCCACACATTTTGCCCTTAATAATTTAGTAAACCTAGATATACCATCTGAATTCTCTGGTATGTATTTGGGTAATTTTACTTTTGATTATATGGAAGGAAGAGACAGGTGTATGAAAGGAATTCTTTTAGCTATCACTAAGAAAACAATCACAAGAAAATAAATTTACTACAGAACCCTTTTCCACTTATATAAAGGAAAATATAACCTTTTATGTTGAATTACAGGTGAAGAGGCTTAGCAAATACTGGCAAGCATGGATTAAATTTATGACCTCACTGAGACCTGATATTCTATGAAAGAAGACACATCTTTGTTTTTCTGTGGACTTTTTATTTTTTGGGTTTTTACTAAATAATTATATTTCCATATAACCTCCCATCTACGTGTGCATAATGTAAATGGCTAATTAGAAAAAAACATATAACTGTAAGGGAAGATGAAAGCAGAAAATTACTTTAATTCCATCTGTAAACCGTTAAATAAAGAGTTAAAAAACACAAAAACACATGCCCTTTCCAGTAATCACCTGTTTTAGCACAAACTTCAGAACTACACGCACGAGTGGAAATTCTCGAATGTATGATGCTTCACTGATGAATAAATAATGTGTATAGGTGCTTTTTAAATTGTCCCTTTCATCTTTAGCCTAACTTCACATTTCTACTGTTTGAGAAAAGTGCTGACCCTTTTGTCTGCAGAATGGGACACAGTGTGGCAACAGATTCAGCTGATCTTGTCCACTTGAGTCCAATTTTCTAGATAATGTGCCTACTCATTCTAAGAAGAAAGCAGTAGCAAAACGTCAGCTCATTTTCCACTAGGGTTTAGTCATACTTGTGAAACGGCAATGAATCTTTTGATTGTTTCTTGGAAATTTTCCAGGATTTGTATTCAAGCTGGGAACCTATGCCTACGAGGACCAGAGACACCGGCATCTACAGAGCTGCAGAATTTTTTTTTTTTACAGAGCTCTGCATTTTTAATAGGCAAGGTGGTAAGAAATCCACTTGCTGGGGATTCATGGGTGTTAAAAACTAATTACAATCTTTGTTATGGTTAAAAAAGTGGTGAATTATGTTGATGGTAAAGAAAATGCTAACACTAAGCAAAGGGTGAAATGTCACATGTCTAACTACAGTACATTCCCAATGTATGAGTTGAGTGTGTGGTAGACAAAAGGATGTGTCCCCCACAAGCAATGACATACTCGCCCCCATACTCACATTAGCCTTCACCCCATCCTGGACGTCCGGGACGCGAGGCATGGCGTCATACAGGGAGGAGACATAGGTGATGATAGACTTCTCATCAGGATGAGGAACGTCCACGTCTAACACAAAGACACAGAGACGTAGAAATTAATGCATCCCTAGATTCATTATGACACACCCAATGAAATCTCTCTAATTGTTTTTCCAAAATGCCCCCAAAATGCGTGTCTGATAGACACGCCCAGTCATTCTCTTGTTTCATTAGGAAAGATAAATGAGATGGTTTTATGAAAAAAAAAGTGGAGCCTCTATTTATAGTTTACTTTTTTGCTGTTCTCAACTACATAGAAATTAACCTGGCTTAATTTTCCCCCCAAAATGACTTTTTATTTTATTTTTCATTCACTATTTAAATTATATTAATATTTCACCACCTATGTACTTGGTTAGATTCATGACTGCAACTACAAAGATACACACAAGACTTCAGATAAATGTGGAAAAAAAACATATAACCCTACTAACAGTCATGGGACATCGATGATTCAATAAACACTGTGTAATAAACAACATTATGGACAAATGTTATTTATTGTTTGTCTGGTACATGTTGAATTCACAGCCTGAATTCTGACAAATGCTTTCTTCCATTGCCAGGTGAAAGTGTCTTTTATCCCTTTGATAAAAACTAACAGTTTAGGGTGACGTTCTGATACATTCCCAGTGGTTCAGTGGTGACGAGTTCAGAGGTGGACAAAGGAACATCAGGCAATTATAGTCATGAAAATGATCACTTACTGCCTGCAAAGGCACACCCTTGCACTGATAAAGGCTTTGTACATCAAAATTAAATCAATTCAAGAGCTCAGACATAAGGATTCTGCCCACATGAATCAACATTAACATGAGCTTCAATCACAGAGGGTGGACCAGGCCCATACCAGCAAAAACATGTCCAAGCTAATCTGAAGTCTATAGCAATCCTTTAACAGCACTGAGCTATTCTATTTGAAACACTCCTTTGATGTATTCTCTCTTAAGGCTAATGCTTTTCATGGGACTAATAAGTAATGTGATTGGAAACTAGACAGAGAAACAGAGAGAGACGTTACTCAGATCCTTGAGGAGGATGGATTTTACCTGCAAAACTTCCATTTTTATTATTAAAATTGATTATGATTATATAGACCTGTACCACTGGTCCACACTGCATCCCCACAAACATATTGTGAAGATAGGGACCATCGCCACCTTAACCCCAATAACATTAATTTAATTCTCCATGTACTCCTTTGTTTCCAACTCTGTGATTAGTTTACTTTTTCACTTTGATTTCTAATTATTTTAAAAGAAACTTTGTCTCTACTGATGCACAACCCATTTTAATCAATTAAAACATATTTTTAATGAATTAAAAACTGAGTGTGCTCCAGAATGTATAACAAAATAAACCACTGGTAGAACAGCCATTTTTAATCCAAAAAAGAACCTGAATTTAGCATCTCATCTGAAATAATGTGCTATTGTTAAAAGTCGGCTTTAGTCCTGGTTTACCTTACCTTCAGGGTCAAGTAGTCTTGTGACACCTAGGTCCTTCTCAGCCACAGTAAAAGCTTGCTCCAGGTTCTCTGTGTTGGTCTGTCTGTAGACTTTGTTCATGTCGATCAGCATCGGTCTGTACAGAACGAGCAGGGCAGAGAATCAGGGCTACTGAGACGATACCTCTGTTCAGATGAAAAATTAGGATTTTTCCACAGCGCAGTCACATTGCAATATACTGTATACTGCATCATTTCTTTTGGGGGGATTACTGATCCAGATGAATTATTTAATGTACTGTGTAGGCAAAGTATGTTGAGTTTGATTAGAGAAAAAGTGCCTTTTATGCAGAAGAGAAAAGTTATGCAAGGACATAATGCTTAGATGCATGGTTATTAAATTTCTGTGTTATCGGAAAAGGTCTGAAAAACGTCCTTTAAAGGGTATAAAGGAAAAAGTACAGTATTTCAAAATGAGTGGAATTGAGTATTATGTTATTCTCAATCAAAAAGACATAGTGTAATACAAACAAAGCTTGATGTATCTAAAATCTGAACAACGGACTTATCTTAAATGTGTTAGTGTGGCATTTTTGCTTCCTGCAGATAAAAAAAAACTGTAATATGATAGTCATCCAGAAAGAAGTGCCCCACATTCTGAAAAAATCCATACAGGAAAGCGATGAAGCTTTTGGTCTTGTAAGTCTGAACTTTCTTTTACAAATAGTTGCCAAATATATTTCAACCCACAAAAACAGTGGGGCACCTATTTCATATAACTAATGACTAGATAAATAAATTTACTTACTGAAACTAAGGACTTTACTTTTTTTAGGTTTTTACTTTACCAGGGTAAGAGGCTATTAATAGATTAATGTGGGAATTGCATTTCGCTCCAAGAAAGCAAATTTGTAAAACATATCTTACATGGTTTAGTTTGTTTAAAGTTTGTTACATAGGTGGGGATGTGTATCACAGCCAGCCGCCAAAAAAGTATCCATAACACAGAGAATATTGCTTAGGAGCTATTATAAAGGGAAACAAAAGGTGACATCTCTGACTAACGATGACACAAGGTAGGCTGCGAGGATTGCCAACTAATTATTTTCTTGCTAATATGGACTGTGTTGTATGTGTAGGGCTCATTTACCTTTCTAAAAATAACAGATCACCTGTCTATAATCTATAATGTAGTCTCTGAACATCTGCTCTTCACAGCCTAGAGGTATGGGTGGATGATTAACACATCTAGCTGCTCTTCAGAAAAGCTGGCGAAAACAGGTTACATTCCACACTACTAGGGAACTGGCAGCAGAAAATAGCGTTCTATTTGCAAATATTGACAGTAAGAGCAAAGAATATAACAGAGATATATGAGACTAAACAGAAGGGAGGGAATGCATTTTGTACAGTATGTATGCTGGTTCAAAGCCAAAATCTTCACCTACAATAAAGAAAAAGGTTTTGCTAAAATCATTTCTGACTGCAACTCAAATCCCTTAAGCGATTTCTATGCAAACAATATATTACGTCACCTGATAAGTCCGCAAAAGGAGTGATTTTATAAGATGTAACTAAAAATGCACTCAAATCATCAGAAATATTAATTTACTTTTTGCCGTCCTAGAGAATCAAGTCCGAAACCTCACACAATAGAAAGGTTTACATAAGCCCCACTCATGTTTCTCTTCTTTACAGTTCCAAATACTTCCAAACACGCGCTACAATCCTAAACTTATTTTGCAAATTTTCTACGTCTACACTGTAGGACCACCATGCTTCGGTATTATTTCTAATGAAAAATAATAATGAAAAATGCTGCAGCTAACTCTCCCTTCAGCGTAGCGACAGGGCAAGGACAATGAAGAGCAAGTGCGTACAGCTCTTTGACACGCAGGGTGGAGGACACGGTGTAGTACTCTCCGGGGCTCCTCGGGCAGTCCTGCTCCACGTACTGCAGCTCACGGAAGGACAGCTGCTGCTCCCTGCTCTGAGAGCCCCATCCTTGCTCCCGACCCGAGCCAGCGCAGCTCCAGCTGTGTTCCGTGCTTTGGGAGTCCCCGCTGGAGCGGGCACCGGGGCTCTGGGACCCCCGGCCGGAATCGCAGGAGCTCTCGGAGGGGATGTCCTCACAGAACATCACCACCCTGTCTTCCAGGTCACTCAGCGAGCCCGGCACACTGCCCACTGAGCCGGTCCTCCGTTTTTTCACTTTGGGCTTTCTCTTCAAGCTCAGCATGGTGGCAGAGAAGAGCACACCCCCCCCCTCTCAAACAGGAAGACCAGTAAACAACTTCACAAGCAGGTGTATCACACTTCCTTCCAGTCCCCTCTAATTAAATTAGCCCGACATCTTTGTGTCTGTCATTCCAGCTTTGCTCCACATATTTCTTATTCCTGCTGTGTAATTCAGTTTTCTCCTTCTCCAGGACTCCAACAAGAAATCGGTGTGTGTGGTCAAAAATCCAGCACAACTGTCATAGAAAACCATATAATTATATATGGGTGATGAGGAAACAGGTGACAGCTGCCAGGGATTCAAAGGAGGTGCACTTCAGTAAAAACAGATGCAGCAGGAGCTCACTGCCTTCACATTGTTCCTCCACTACAAGGTTTTTCAGAGCTCTTCTTCCAGGCAGTATCCACAGTCACAACATTGCTCTTTGCCACATGTTCTGTAACCAACAGTTCCTGAAGGGTACCAGACAGGATCAAACACCACGCCACATGGTGTTTGGGCACAATATTCCTGCTCTTCCAGAAAACAATCCACCTTTCAAATGCACCTGGTCCATAAAGGTATTAAAGTTCCTCTCACTGTGATTCGGAATAGTAACAAAGGAGACGTCAAAGTAATTGTTGATTTTCGGCCACTACAAAAAAACTTCAAGAAAGTAAGAAAACTCTCCTTCCCAAAAGGAGCTTCTATGTGCACATGACACTAACATTGAGAACAGAAACCTTAAAACTCGATGCGCTCTCTGTGAATAGGCTCTACCGGAGAAGCTAAAGCTCTCTGTGCAGAAGAGGCAGCTGTAGCTGTAGCTGCCTCTCCTCTGGAACAGTCTCTTTATTCAGACTCCCAGCTCAGTGGTCTGTGGGTGTTCCTGGCAGAGTACCCCAAGCTCTTTGAATCCTCTGTGGCAGCTGGGCGGACCTTCTCTCCGCAGGTACATGCTAAAGTTTCAAACACTGATTTTTTTTTTCTGTGCCCTCCGGGGGAATTTTTTTTTCTTTTCATAATGCTTCTCTTAGGCTTGCCACACCTCAGCGAGAGACTCTCCCACCACACTGCCGTGCGCTCATGTTTCGTTCTTTGTGCGTCTCTCCCTGTTCAGCGCCACTAATGTAACTCTTCAAAGCGGAGCAAAGCCTGTGCCTCTTCTCTACCGTTTTGTAGCTTTAACTGCCCCATGGATTTCGGCTTTCTGAACGTACCCTTTCTGAATGCCCCACCTGTTCAAGCTCACAAAAAAAGTCAGGCCTACAACATCACTGCAAGAGATGCTGAAAATTTGACAATAATAACTGACCATGCCTTTTAGATTTTGTTTTTAACTGGTATCATATTATATCTTTGGTCGCTCTTTACTTGTAAAAGATCTCATACTGTTAATTTCCAGAAAATGCAGTTTGGGAGTTTGTCCGATTAAGATGCTGGGGAGTTACTCCATGCACATGCAGTATAAGATTAAAGTCAGCATTTGTGCTTTCCAGCTTATCATCGACTTGATTATTTACTACGTTAGTGAAAATGAGTTAGGAAAAGACATGTTGCACTTCAGCACAAATACATGTCTATAGAATTCCTTCGGTTTTTTTCTTTTTCCTAACAGGCTAATAATGACGTTCATCTACTGTACCTAGAACTGAGGTGTGCTGGAATTTCTTACAGCAATTTGATTTGATTCACTGGAGAACTTTGTTGAAGCCAACGAACAGCTGGTTTGTTTGCATTTTCTACAAATGTAACAATTGATTGATTCAATTTAATTTGGGGGGTTATGAATACATTATAAACCCATTTGAGCAGAAGGGATAAATCAGCAGAATAATTTTAGGTTACGTTTCCATTTGCCCCCCAATAATTCAGTGCCATCTCTGACAACTCCCCTGTGAAGTATTCAAACCCTTGAGCACTGACATGTTCTAAAATTTATTAAAAGGGGCCTCTTTCATGAAAAAAGCCTCTGCCTGTGAGCCAACAACAAGCCTGGTCAAGAAGAGAATTCCCGTCTGCGTGAAAATATGATTTTTTCACCCAAAAAACTGTTACTAATGCATGGTATGCTAGGTTCAATGATGCTTAAGGTATCTGATGGTGGAAGGTGCAAAATCAGCACCTTGGCAATCTCCTTAAAGTGCACATACAAGTGGATATAAAGTGGCTACAGTAAATGGGTCACTGACACTGTCACTGAAGGTGGTACAATGAATCTGACAATGTACAAATACACCAACAATTACTATAGCAGAGGTCCAATTGATCAAATTTCAGACAACACACCTGAATGAGAGGGGTACCGAAACTCAGAAATTGGCACAGGGAGATACCAATTCCAAATGCTATTGTACAGTACCTTCTAAGATCTGAACTTTCAAACTTCTGCCCCACACATAAAACTGGAGTCAATTAGCCTACAATAAAAAACTTACCTGGGAGAAAAAACCTACAGGACCAGGGCTGGAACCCACTGTTCTGTGAAATTACACCCGTTAACTTCTGTTTTTGTATTTTTCAAAAAGAAAGTGCTGAAAATTCTTTATTTCAACCACGGCCATTGGATCACAAATATTCCCATACATAGTAAATTGCAAATCGGCTATGTAAATGTTTTAAAACTGACTTGAACGTTGAAGATAAAAGACTGCCTTTATATTATTTTTTTCTGTACAAATCAGCATAACATTTATACTTTTTTCTTTTAATTTATTGATTGCATGCCAAGGCATGTCTGCCATGCTGTAGTTAGACAGATATTTCACATTCTTACCCTTATCAGGAGAGCAACGAATTGAAAACTATGCCTTAAACTGCCTAAAGCCACAGGGAAATAGAAGGATTCTTGAGGGTGTTTTTTCTCAGCAGTTATTCTCATTTACATGGTTGACGTTGGTTTATAACTGCTATCAACGACAGGAGTATTTAAGAATATTTGTAGGTTAAGATGCAGGTTTTACAATCATCCTTCAGTGATTCAATTGAAAACACAAACGAGAACCTTCAAACGGCACTTGCTGGTCATGTCTGAAGAAGTCCTAGCCACAAGGCTAATTTTCTTGATGCAGAAAAGTTACCTGAGAGAACTAAAAAATGTAAGCTCTTCCCAGCTCAGCCTGGCAGGCAGCACGAAAAGCCTCACCTGTGGCGGTGAATGACAGCGTTGAAGAGCCTGCCATCCCTCCAGCTGCTGGTGAAGTTGTCACAGCGCAGGCCCTGGTAGCCCTCGACCATGCGCTGAGCCCAGAGAAGCAGCTTCTCCTTGGCTGTCATGTCCTCAGACTGGCCGCACACCTGAATGTCAGAAATCTGTGGACACAACGAGCACAAACGGAATATGATAAGGGGCAACATTTCGGAAACGGGAGTCTGGGGTGAGTAACGGGTAACTTTTGCTCGTTATCCATATTGTGAAAATGCCTTCCAGGTCTCCTTAATTCTATGTCTACTACTTTGGTCTCTGTAACTCCGACAGCTTTAATGTGTTGATTTCTTCTTAGGAAAAAAGAATAGTGTTACACTACATGTTTTTCAAATATGGCCAATAAGACAGGAGGTCATATTGTTGGACTGTTCTTTTTCTTCCTAGTTTCCAACAGAGGGCAGTCTTGAAAATTGAAGCCGACTCAGCGACAGTCTCCATACCAAGAGCATCATCTGTTTTTTTTGTAAAAACAATACACGTTCATCATTGCCAAGTTGCATGACAAACTGACACAGCTGAAAATAGCATCCAGTTGCACAATTTCCTGATCCTAAGTCGCCAATGAATCACATATTTTAACCTCAATATCTAAAGAAAAGCAGAAAGGAAACTGCAGAACTGCTGTCAAGTTTTGGTCCTATCTGTGTGCTTTTCAGAATGAAATGAAATTCAGTGGCGCCTAAAATATAGAACACTATGAACCATCAAGTGAAAAAATAAGCTCCTTTCGCAAAGATCTAAATTAGTTACAAAAAATAATTGACTGTACAAAAAGAAACAGATTTGACAGAAAGATGCAAGTGTGACATTTCATTTCAGTCTTTATCAGATCCAAAACAGAACAAAAACAGAAAATGTGAGGGGTCCAATCTAAGATCTCTCTAACATTTCCAGAAGTGTTTTAAAAGCCCGAAATAACCTAGCCCTATAAACTGATTAAATCAGCTACTGTAAAATTATTTTTCTTTGCAAAAGATGTAAATATCGAAGAACTTAAGATGACCATTAGGAAATGTTTTCTGGACAGCCAAGCAAGTCGACAACAACATTACATCAACCTACAGTATCTGTTAGGAAAAGATCATGTGTATTCTTGGCCTTTATTCACTGAACAATGACAAACAGGAGCAGATAGAGCTGTCTAATCTATGCATCCTACCATCTTGTGATCTTGGGGCTATGCTAAGTCACACCATGACAGGTTACAGAGACCCAGAGAAGAAGAAAAGGAGAAATAAGTTGGACAAAACCCATTAGTCGTTGGGTACAAACTTTCATAACTGGCTAAAGCCTCATGTTACATAACAAAAAAATGACAATTTTTTTTCTAGGGGAGAGGCAGGAGGATGATGGGTAAATAACCTGGAGGCCCGAGAAGAGTAATTCTGTCATATTCAATTCACTGTTTGTGTGTAACGGAGACACCCTCTCCCACGGGGTGTCTGGGTGCCTGTCCCAAGGGGAGTGTACCACACCGACAGTGGATATACTTGGATTTCAGCTTCACTTCATGTCGGCTCTCTTGGATGTGCAGAGTGGGTGAGGGAAATGAAAGCCAAATCCACACCCCTCCCCTTGCAGGATATGGTGACTCACATGCGGTATGGCAGCAAACACCACACCCCGCTACTTTGCCTTTTATGGAAAACCAGCAAATTGTCTTGCTTCCCTCCATTACACAGGGCATTAATTGCTTTAACTCTTCTCTTGCAGCACGCATGCCTTTTCAAAACATAACTTTCACTGCAGGGAATCTCTGCTATTGATTTATTTGACCTCTTTAATACTTCACTTCAGTTGGTCAAACAAAAATATTCTGGTGTGCACATCCATAAGCGGTATTCTTCCGTGATTAATTTGCGTGCTTGATACATCAAAGCTGGCTAGGCTAGGAAAGACCAAAATAAAAATTGAACATGTCTGATGTTATCAAGAGATCATTCATGCACAATGTGACGCCGTATAACATTATTAAAACACAACAAAATGTGATAATGCTAAGTGAATAGGGCCTACTGTCTACCCAGCTGGGCGTTGGCTCTGCTAGTGAGTCATTCTGCTGCCTCGCCCTCCTCTCTAACTCGTTAAATCCTGAACTCGGGGAAACAGTGACTCACAAGGGTAATGATAGAATCCATGATTAGATCCCCATAATAACAGCATTTAACTCACAAAAACGCATGTTTATTGCTTGAATAAGAAGAAAAAATGAAAGATAAGTTAGACTGAGCTCTCCACTTCAATTGTTCATATGGAATAAAGAGAAAACTGCATGTATCAACAATGGGAAAAAAAGAGAGGGTAATTTTGACAGCCGCCTTGGTTTGCGAAGGTACTCCATTTTCACATACGCTGGTCCTATTGGCATTAGCATTATAGCTATATGTTTTGCCAAGTTTCTAAGCAGGAGCAGTTTGTGCAATAAGCTATGTCTCTTGAAACTGGTTTATACCACACTGCAGGCACAGATTATTGCTGTACGTTACAGCAATGCAGAATGTAGTGACTATTTGTGTACTGTACAAACTTGCTAGTGAAGCCTCGGTGTTTCAATTCAATTGGAGAATGTGTTCATAAGAGAAAGATTTTAAAGAGCTTTAAACACACTTCACATTTGTGAAATTCTAAAAGGACTTGAACCTTTCTCACAGACGTTATTGTTTGGATGTCCCAATGCACCAATGCGTCTGCATTTTCAAAAGTGGGAAGAAAAAAATTAAAAAAATCTTAAGCCTGATAAAAACATTGGAAGATGAGACTGGTTGGTAAGCACTAACCTGGAAGTGTAGAATGATAGTCCATATCAGCCCAAGAGTCAATTTGGGGTTTCCATCTGCAATGTCATCGTTTCTGATGTTCACCAGTTTAACCTGTTAAAATCACACAGGGCCCTCCTTGAGTAAATGACCCTTTCATTATCTCTCAATTTCATGTCCACATACAGTAAAAGATAAAAAAAACAGTTTGCACTCACACACGATACTCTACTAAACAGCCATAACAATTCAAGAATTATTCTATCGCAATGCAAACTCCTTCCTAGATGTTTGGATAGAAACTGTTCTAGTCAACATATGATTATAAATCTTGTTTTGCATGTACAATGTTACAGTATGTTACAATTTCAGAAAAATAACTTAAATTGCAAGTGCCAAGCACATAACCTTTCATGAGGCACCAAACATAATATTACAATATATGTAATTTCACATATCAGTAAACCAATATCCAGCACAAAAATCATCATCACGCAATAAAGGTTTCTTTTTAAATTCTTTAGAACTGTGAAGACTGATCAAGCATTCCTTTCCAAATGTCATGACTGTGGCAAAAAAGGGAATGGCACAACGGAATATTCTAAGCTAAAAAAATATGAATAACACTTCCGAAATATGCCATCCTGGAGTTTGCTCTGTGAGAGGCATTCAAACAGGACAGATGCGGTTTCCAGTCTCACCTGCCGGTGCTTCAGGAAGTCCAGTGCAATCTGAACATTCTGCAGCTTGTGAAAGCGCATGCGGCCTTTCTCTCTGGGCTGCAAACATAAAAGAAACACTGAGTTTGAGAGCCACAGAGCTTTTAGGACCCCCTACAGGTACACCAGTATCACCTGGAAGAAAACAGACGAGTCCAACAGCACAAAGATGAATGGAAATAGGAACGGCAACCACAGATCTGAATTCTTAATCCTGAGAGAGTTAAACAGTGAGAACCAATACCAGAACTATCTCCTCCACACAGTACTATAGCAATTCCTGGAACTACCTTCAGTCCATATGTCTTAAATCTTTGAGGTAATTTCATATTTATTCCAAATCTCACTGAATTTCTGACAAGTACGGAACCTGTCCTGTGACAAACGCATAAAGGTTAATCACAACATCACATCACCAATAATGCCTCCGAGACATGGATCTGGAAGCATGGCACTAGGCTGGAGGAATGGGAAGACATGCAGGAATGACATCAGCTTGAATACATTCTTTTAAAGCAAATGGGGTATTTTATTTCCATAGCACATAGCTCTGTATAATACTATTTATTCTTGTTCTTTCATATCTCACATGTGGTGGCTTGATCCTTATACATGGAAAACATTTTTGTACTTTTTACACAAAGTGCAAAAAAATCAAACATACCACTGGGAATCAGGAAAGAAATTCTGTATTTCAAGATTTTAGTGTTTACTGATCACTAGCTAGGTTCCTTAAGAGTTCTAGGGATCAAATGAATACTAGTTTAAATTAACAATAAATAAATACTACAAGCACATAACACAAAAGTCTTGTTAATTTTCTTTTACGGAGAAGTGTTGCATTTTTGTCTACAGCCAGTATTTGTTAACCAAAGCAGAGGCATCAAGAATATTGCATTCCAGGATGTCTCATGATTCTACTTAATTTTATTTGTCCACTTCAATGATCCATGCTTGAATAGTGAAGAAGGGTTTCACAGCATTGCCAAGTTTGTCCCTTTCTTTACACAAGTAAAGATAAAGATATCTGCCTAAATGATATGAACACCAAGGTGCTCAGACTGTCTCTCCTGTTTGCCCCCACACATACACTAGACATGGAGAAAGAGGATGCACCTCATTGTCAGACATGGACATGCATGGACCCAGCCAATCACATGGTTAGCTGTTGGATTAGTTGAGCTCTTATTGGCCTGCTGTGTCTAATGTCACCGACACAACTTCCTGCTGAAATAATATACATGCTGAGGTGGATTCCCATTGAGAGAGGAAAATAAGATATATACCGTACCACCCATTCGTCATACCGTGTTTTTTATTTTTTTATTTTGGCAACCGTTACGAAATGAAGGCTAAGAAACTTAACCACTCTTGTTCTCTTGTTTCAGCACTTGGGCCATCCTTTCTTCTTCCAGTCAATTGTTTAGATTCAGGTTATGTATTCATTGCTAAGAAAAGTCCTTACATTCAACATTATTGTCGCACATAAAGTAACATTAATTTTAAGTTCTTTATGCAAATTCAATTGCAAGTGCAGTTATGAAATCAAAAAGAGATACAGTTAAACAATTTCCCCATTTCCAAACGTGTTTAGAACAGATTAGGAAAGCAGGCATTCCTTATTAACAATTCGGATGTGGTCCATTCAGACTTGCTTATGTTGCATGGAATCATTTCCGCTTTTGAAACTATCTGGTGTACCTTAACACTGAATGCAGAACACAAAGGCAGGGCATTTGCTTTTCATAAAAAAAAGTGAATATTGCCTAGAACATTTTGAAACTAAAGTTCAAAAATCCGTTGTGATAGCTTTGAGAAAAAAAATAGAAAAGAATCAGCAAGCTGTGTAATTGACTTTCCTCATGCTTCATATTGAATTTCTCTTAAAACAGCCCAATGTCTTATGGGTGACTCTTAATCCGGAGTCTTCCGGGTACGAACAGGCCAGTAAGAGACATCATGCGCTGCCCCGCCAGTGGGAGTATCCCATGCCACGGCGCACGTGTGCCTCAAGTGCAGACCCACTCACCAAACGCAAGTTCCTGATAACGTCCCTCTCCCTCGGCTACCCCAGCAAGAGCAGTGCAAGAAAGGACGCAAAGGCGAAAGGGGCAAAGGTCAGGGCAGAGGTCAGCAAACAGGAGGGTACAAAAGGAAAACCAGGAGTCAAAGAACGCACACAGTTTCACAGAAGGAAGCAAAGTAAGGTTAATGTGTTAAGGTCATTGAAGCAGTCTGCAAAAACAGGTAAAGGTATGCAAACACAGCACCTGAGCAAATCCAAAAAAATGCCAAGGACCCGACTTACAAGGCAAATCTAAAATGTCTAATATGATGCAGTGCTGCCAAACAGTTTGCTAGACTTAACAGAATCGACTTGTTTAATATATCACTCAAAGTCAGGCAGCTAGGCTGGGATCAGTAGCAAAACAAAACCATAGGTTTCTGATATGGTTGCTAGATTGGTATATTGTATTCATATGCAACTGGGAATTTTACTGGGAAACTGTTCCAGTGCACATCTGTGAAAAAGTATTTTAGCTTTTATTGGTAATAAAGAGCAGTAGTTCACTACTATATTCCTGGTTATGGTATTTTCAGGGGATGACACAAACCAGCACAAAAGTTTTCGAAAATTCATGATAAGTACTGATTGTTTACATGACCAACCACAGAAAACGTGAAACTCCCGGCGGAGTATACCCACTGCCTATCCAAAATCTTTTTCAGGGTCTTGCTATCTATCAAATGCTGCGTGGCGTTCATTAATTTAAGTGTGCGAGTTCAACCTTTGGGAATGTGGCAAACAAACAGCACTGTAAAGTTTTGAGAAATGTTTTGAGCTTACTTTTTACTAGAGAGTATCTTTAGAAAAGTAAGTGAGGTGATAGTAAGATCCTGTTGTGTGTTGAATAAAATACCCACCCCAGCCTCTACAGACAAAATGAGTAAGGCACCTATGTAAAGAGTATGGTAAATTTAAAAAGCTGGAGTCTTTAGGTCTCAGGAATGTATCTTGCATATTTTCAAAGCTTTCTTTTAGTGGTTAGCATGTGCTGGGCAGGTAGGGGTTTAGTATATTGCTGAAGGGACAGCAGTTTGGAACAAGTTCAAAAAGAAGCCGGGGTAAGGGGCTGCTGAGGGAGGGAGAGGGGGGCAGGTTTCAGTGGAGTGGTGCAGAAGCGAAGAGCAGTTCGAAACGCCAGAAGGACTCACCAGAGTCTCGCCCGAGAGGACCTCCAGGAGTGAGATCAGGTTGTGTCCATCTCTGAGGTCCTCGTACAAGTCATTGACGTGGCGCTGAGCCTGGGAGGAGGAAAAGCACAGATCACATTGAAGGTCATTCAGTGAGAAACATTTCACATTTAATTCTGGCACTTAACTGTGCTTGCTCTGGATGGCACAGAATCAAAGAAAGGGGTTTTCCTGATAACTGCCTCTCAGATCCAAAGTATCCAAAGGACATCTGACTCAAAGAGTAGATTGCTGATCAGGGAGAACTACTGAACGCCTTTTCCTTCTATTTCATAACCTTCATGCCTGGCATAATACCTGTGCTTTAGTAAATGACAGGATTTGTACTTTGTTGTGTGATGACTCGGAGTGTTTGCCACTCCTTCAGCCGTCTGTCCAGTCTGTCCAGCTGTCTCCTTCTGCTCCTGTCAGCTGTCATGATGCCCCATTTTAACTTAATTGTCCCCTGACTGAGTAGAATGGATCACTAGTGCTAGTGAAATTAATATAATCCTCAATAACAGATATCAAAATTTAAAAAAGAAAGTTAAGAAAGGCATTTTAACATAAACCTGATGAATTTAAAATAATTTAAAATACACAAATTATAAAGCTGCAATGCATTAACATGTTGAAAAGGTCTTCATGGGGATGCAGTATAGAAAATGAAATATTAATTTACTTTGTCCAAGCATGTTCACCAAGATACTTAAAGGACCTAATTTACTGTACACAATGCAACGTCTGGTATTCTTAAATAAACACAACCTACTACTGTATACTGTATATCTCAATTTGCTGTAGTTCCAGCAATCACACCAAGAGCTAACAAGAAACAACATGAAACCACGGAGCAGCCTATTACTCTGTATCTCCTGCAGGTATAAAAATACACAGAAACTACTTTACCATTGGTTTATAATAACACAAACAACTCCATATTTCACTGATTAGTACAAGAACAAGCACGCAAGAATCCTGAGAACATTATGCCCTGACAGGAATATTGCCCTTTTCCCTGCATGTACCATCCAAATAACCCCTTTCCTTTTGAAAAATCTGGAATGGGAAATTATTATCTACTTTAACCCAGCTAATGTGAAATTATCTGTTGTTTATTAACTTGCCTAACTGCTACTGATGCTGTAGCGGGAGGAATGAGGGATGAAGGGGGAGTGTACCCTTGTCTCTGGCATCATCATTGAAAAGTTAACAAGAGTGTTAACACAGACTGCAGTAGCAGGACTACCATCACTGACATCACAGCTAGTTGGCAGCTGCCTGGACCTTCCCAGGGGTCACAGCCATATGTCAAGCAAAAGAAGTTCTGGCCAGAAAAGTCCTCTGGACTCCAGCTGTGTGACCCCACATGAAGAAGACCAGTCATAGTGTACCAATGACATAGCCATGGAGCAAATGCTTTTATTGATTTAGCCACTCCAAGGCTGACATGGAATGTTTTATTAATACAACTGCTCTTCAGTTCTAACTCACAGCTCAACGTTTTAACAAGAAAGGTATTGTTGCTATCCAAATGTAAGGCACATGCATGTCTGAGATATTTTGAAATAGGGTACTTACAATACAGTGAAATGGATGGATTCACAATATAACCTACAAACCTTTTTTAAGATATTTTGTTAAACCACGGGCTGATTCAGTGGTTACAATACAAAAAACATCAGCTAATAAACAGCTATCAAATGGTACCTGATGCCTTAAGATGAGACAATGCATCATTCTTCCTACCTTTAGAATTACCTACTGCAGTTTTAATGGTAGGTACTTGAGGGAATCATGCAAACAAGCCATGCATCCTTTAAAACATCAGTACATGGGTGAAGAGCACCAGTCAGAATACGTCAGTAATTGCAAAGGCTTCAATAATTACATTCACACTGCATGGGTGAAAGGTGGGTGACATTCACATGGTTATTACTGACCTCCCCTCACACTGGGTAAAAACTGGCAAATATTTGTACAAAGCCAAGGAGAGAGGGGAGAAAGGAACGTGCTATATTGATGTTGCCATCAATGTGACTTTGTGACCTCGCGAACCCTCAATAACACAGTACGCTTTTAAAAAATATAAGGGTTTATCTATAAGCAAATTACTGTACATCCAATGCAATTTAAAGATACTGCTCTGAAGATTTCCTAAAGAGCTTTTATTCTCCCCTGAAAAATTATGTCTTCCAAACTTAAAAGAAGTTCTGAAAGTACTCAGAATTTTATGGCAGGATGTAGGCAGTAAAGAAGGCAAGTTGTATGTCTAGTATGTGCAGATAAATGTGGAGCTCTTTATACTACACCCTATACTATACTGCTTTATACTACCATGCTTTCTTCATTTTTTAGCAACTCCTTTAACAGTTGAGGGCCGTGGTGAGCTGGAGGCTAGCACAGGCTGCAGGCAGGACCAGGACAAAATTCACAACAACCAAACCAAACAGTTTTAATTGGAAAGCAGTGAGAAAATCTGAAACAATCTCTCAATAAAAGGTCCATAAGAAAAGCAGAACGCAAAGCAACACTGTTTTACGACCACCACAGACGGACCTCAGATCCTCCCTCTGAACGGTGCTGATTTTCATGCAGGTTGAAGAGCACAGCTACACACTCACAAGAAAAAGGAGCCCCTTCATAATGACTACTATCAATGCTGTGAGAAGAGACATTTCTGGAAAATCATCCCAAATGATCAAATATCATACATTTAAGTTTGAAGGTTTTAGTTTTCAAATGTTTTCTCAAAACTATATTTCTCAACCATTTTCTGAAAATGATATTTTCAGAAAAAGTACCAAAAAGCTTTCAAGGATATCTTTCAGATGTTGTAACGGAGTATATGCTATAGGTATAGGTGGCATGACTGGTGATTAATTCTTTTCAAATGTAAGCAAACATATAGAATCTAAAAGGCCTAGTTGTTTATTTCTTCGGGATCTGCTGTTTTTCTCTTCTTAACTCTTCTCAAGCAGGGGCAGTGAGGGCACTGTATTTAGTACGGGAGCACAGAGAGAGAAAGGGTCTGAGATGCTCTTGTTGAAGCCTGAAGGAAGGGGGTCTACATGCAACAGAGAATGTGCTGCACACTACCCTGCTTTCAGCAGCCCTGCACAGGCATGTTCACAGGTGGCACATACCTCAGCTCTCCAGTGCTAGAGGGCGGGGAGGGAATGGGTACGAGAAATGGAGGAAGAGAGGAAGGAGAAAGAAAGAATAAAATACCATGAATGGGAAAGAAATACACAAATTAGACAAAGATTGTAACAAAGGGTGAAAAGAAAAGAAGGATTTAGGAAAAAGAGAGAATAAGGAATATTGTTCTGTTTATCTATAAAGGGGATCAATACGATCATCCGCAAAATGCAGTGTTTTCACTTCTTCTACAGTCTATTAACGGCTCATACTTCACATGTTACATAACAGACGGAGAGGAATGTGTCAGCAGGTACAAGAGTGTTTATGGGATTGACAAGCATCAGCAGGCTTTTGAAAAAAAAATCAAAGTCATGAAGGCTAAGGTATTTTTCAGAGCTGGCAGCTATAAAAACAAATCTGTGTTTTTGTTTCAGGACAGACAATGAATGTATACTACTGTGGCAATACAAAGTTACCCATATATAGTTAGTATTAAGGGTATGTTTTGGTGCTTCTGCTTTGAAAGAATAATATTTTGAATTTGAACTGTAAGCACACATTAACATCAGGTACGTATCTACAATGACTCAGTTTTCATTTTACCTGTGGAACAAATACCTGAAGCACCTTCATCTGGCCACAAGAGACCACTGTTGTCACAGATTTGCACAACAGGCCATTACATTTCCATATCACCTCTATAGATCATTATCGTGTACTTTGAGCAATGCATACTCTAATAAATCTCAATGGAACATAATCTATACATTGTAGCACCTACTCAGTGACCGGACCTGACTGGCTCTTAGGCATCTGTAATTTTTTCCATTTCACAATTTAATATTTGTAATACTATACATTTAGGTATTTATAATGAGGAAGCCTGGAAAGTCTTTCCAATATTGTTTTATAACCCTGGATTCCTTTCAAACCTTATAGATTCAGGCCCTCGTTTACACAGTTCTTACAGGCTTCTTTCACCAAGAAGTGCGGTGAAACACTGCGAGAAAGACTGCAATCAATGTCCATTTTATAGCAAAAATGAACTCCACAGAATGCCGCGTTTTAAATACAACACGTTTTTAGGACGGGAAATGTTCCCAAGGCCTGTTCCCTAGATCTGTGGTGATCTAATTTAAACTGCTGATCAGATGGCTGATCCGTGACTGATTCTCCATATCTGGTAGGGGGTACTGAGGAGAAACAAAACAGCATGATCTGCCAGCAGCTTACTGCATGAAGTCACAGGTTAGACCCCGATAAGAGAGCTATCTCCACAACGGAATCAAAACGCACTCTAGTCCACTGAAGCACAGACCCCTTCACCAACATTCACTGATTAACAAAAGGCCCTTTGAAAAGAAGTCTTGCACACTCAAAGCCCTGCCTCACACACTTCAGCACCCACACACAGAAAGCAGCTGAGGCAGAAATGTTTTGCTCCTTTTCAAAACAGCTCAGGGGTGAGGATTTCTGGAATACCTCAGTTTGATCCTGTTCCAGGTAAACTGTCAACTTGAAGAAAAAGTCCTGTTCAATGAATTTTGATTACCACTCCTGTTTTAATGGTTTGTACCCATACCTGGCAGTGTACCCTAGTTACATTTATCTTCAAGGACAAAATTGGTTATAATACTAAGTGGCATATATGTGAAAAATGATATCTTCTTGATAGCTGTCCCATGCTAAGGTTCTCCATTACTGCCACCTTTGTCAGGGGGAGTGCAGTGTATCCTTAGGGCATGACAAGTCCCGATGCTACCCAAAGGAATGTGCTTCCCATGGGACCATTTGAATGTGTACCGATTTCTGTTGCTCCTGCAACAGGATTTATTTGGTGTACTATACTGTACGCCTGTGTTACAGGGTCATTGGTGATTTCTTCTGTGATGGGAGCCTGGCCTTTTGGGACACTGAAATTCAATGCT